GGGTATAGAGTGGACTTCGTTTTTAGCCAATTGTCTGGTTTGTTTGTATTAGGATTACTTGGTAGGAAGTGGAACCAATTCAGCTTTTTTTAACATGATTCATAGTGGTATTTTGCATGAATAATTTCGCATCAATACCGTTGGTTCGTGACATTCCACTAGACATAAGGAGCCGTAATTCATATGTTCTGCCCCACAGACACGGGTGGATTGAAGTTATCTCCCCACCATCATGTTTGCTGGTCAGTAACGTCACCCTCCCTCCTTTTATGATGTTAGGCTCTCTTACGTTTGTGGTCAGTATGAATATTGCTTTTATCAAGGACCATATTTGGAATACACTGTCTCTACAAGTTCCATGTTACAAGCGAATCAGATGGTAATAGCATTTGTATTATGGGTTAGATATCCATTTAATATATCGTACTACTACGAAGATAACTAACGGTAAAGGTTATAAGAGACAAGTCAGATTATATGTGATTAAGATATGGTAAGGGCTAATAGCAAATCAGAGGATGTGAAAGAGAATATTGTAAAATTTTCAGGGTAAGAAAAATAAAACATTGAACAACTCACAAGAGTTTAGGACATTTGAGCTTATTTTGATCGGCCTTGGTTGGTCAGCATCCATAAGATTAGTGAGTTATCTGTCTACTTGTAATAAGAAAAATAAAAGGACATGACACTTAGGGAGAATAATTTGGATTTATCCATTAGAGAGATCCGGAAACTGAAAGTGAGGGTTAGGAGCGGAAGGCCATGGTTAATAATCAATAAATAGTGGGGAAGGATGAAGCATGTTTTCTTTAGTTTTGCTATATTCATACTAAAGACAATGGAGTTAGTTATATTCTTGATCCGTCTAGATATTGGGCGGTCCATAATAAAGTGCCTCATTGGTAGGCGTGAGTTCAAGGAATAGTTGGTGAAGTTCTTTAGAGTTTAGTAACAGGGTTATTAGCCTTTTAAATTTGGTAAAGGTGTCACAGTTACGGATAGGTATTGGCAACCTGTTCCACAATAAACTATACCGAACTGTAAAAAACTTACAACGCATTTGTTTTTGGTGTTTTTCGGTAAATAGTGTATATGCATTGTTTCTTAGTCTATAGGCTTGGTCATTGATCATAGTTGGACAGGAGGTTAGGAATGACAGTCCATTTATTGCTTTGTAGAGAAACATCAGATTGTCCCTTAACCTACGGTGCCATAAAGGTTCTAAAGAGAGGTGCTTACATCTACTTGTGTAATCAAGAGTGGTGTCACTTCCTAGCAGTTGGCGTGTGAAGCGTCTTTGAACATCGTCTACTCTTATTTTGTCAGGGGTATTCATATTAGAGAAGATAAAAGAGCAGTATTCTAGTGAAGGTCGTACACATATTTTGTAAAGGGTAAGCTTGGCATCTGTCGTGAAGAAATTTTTTGTTATGAAGCCAATTGGACGTCTGGCTTTAGAAATAATAAAGGATGCGTGTGCTTTAAAGTTTAGGCTTCCTGTGTAATTTATTCCTAGATCGTGTACTGAATTAAGTGTCTGGACTTTACTTTTATTTGAGTAAAGTTGGGGTTCATAGGGGTGCTTTCCAAAGTGCATGATCCCGCATTTGTGGAGGTTAAATGGTAATTGCCACTTTTCGCTCCAGATAGTTAGGTTATTGAGATCATCTTGAATCAGGGGTACACTTTCACTTAGAGCCTCAGGCTTATAACTGTATACTATTTTGAGATCATCAGCATATAAGCATGGTTTCCCAGATTCTATGATGTTACATATATAGTTTATATACATGAGAAACAAAAGTGGGCCTAATGCACTTCCCTGGATGACGCCACTAGTTATTGGTCTAGGTAATGTGAGACAGTCGTTGTACTTTACCATTTGTTTACGTCCCTTTAAGAATGCGACAAACCATGAATAGAGTGGGTTGTTGATTCCGAAAGACCGTAGTTTGGCTAGTAGTCGTTTGTGTGGAACCATATCAAAAGCTTTCTTAAAGTCTAAAAATATGACTGATACAAGGAGTTCATTGTCTCGTTTCAGAGTTATATCATTCATGTAGTCCACTAGGCATGCATCACATGATCTGGACCTAAGAAATCCATGTTGGGAGACCGAGATGAGATTATTAGTAATTACATGTTGGACCAACGCCGCTTTAACTACTTTCTCCATCACTCTAGACACCACTGAAGTTATATTTATGGGTCGGTAATTTTCAACATTTGCTTCAGGTCCTGTTTTAATTTTGGGAGTGATGTGTGTAGTTTTCCAGGCAGTAGGGTAATGCGCTGTAGAGAGTGATATTGCAAATAGTTTGAGTAATAAAACACACATATCATCGCCTCCACGTTTTAGCATGCTAGCCGGAATACCATCTGGTCCATCAGTGTAGGAGTGTTTCAGTGTACTAATTGCCTTAGAGATATTCTGTACATTGAAGTCTACGTTAGTAATCTCAGAGACAGATGCTGTGATAAGTTCTGAATCATTAAGTGGTTTTTCATCAGTTAATGAGGAACAAAAGTGTTCATTAAATAGTTCCGTAACAAGTTTAGGATCTTCGTATACTTGTTTATCTTTTATAAATATGTTTCCTCTCGACTTAGAACGTTTACGTTTATTTTGAAAGAGTGTGGTGAGTGCGAGGTGTAGTTGAATTATTCTCCACATCAATTGAGACCTAGGCATAGAAGATTGTTTAATGATCCTTCCATTTGGGTCTTCCGTAGATTGCTTTATGTAAAAACCTTCCATGTTTCTTCATCACCTTATAACATCTAGAAAGTTGGTGTTCTTTCTCTTTTCCACTCTATAAGTAAGTTTAATTACTAAAAATATAATCCAAGTTACACATCGTAAATAACCGAAGTATCATCTACATACATTTTGTATAAATGAAAATCGCCTGTAGTGGGTTTCACTTGGCAGTTTTTCAGACTAGCCATAAACCAGTTTGTCAGCAATGAACCTAAAAAACCCTTTGATTATCACTTTTCAATTGTGTGGATAAGTACAGCATGTTTCTAAAAGTTTCTTCGTTTTCGTCCCGTTTTTATTTTTGGTAATTAGTAACTCTTTGCAAACTTATTGTGGATTGTCATTGTCTAAATTGTATATACACACAATTGTACAACTGCGAAAATTAAATCCCCAAGGGATGGGTCGCTTGGCTGAAGAATTTCCGTTTTTATCTTTCTCATTACTTTTTTCTGTGCATTCAAAACGCTGTTGAACTTAAAGAAAGTGGTTCTAAACTCAAATAATAGCTGAACTTTTAATACAACAGGGCGAATTATTACAGTTGTGGTACATTTTAGAATTCTCGACTATGTTATATTGTGCCCTCATTAAAATGTTCAACCTATCTGAAGAAGTAAAGCTTTCACATCAAAATCGTATTGATCATTATCTAGTAGGTGTTTTTAGTTCTAGTAAACCCTCTCTAGAGATAATAAACCAATTTATCGTTTATAATATTCTAAGTATCAGTGAACCTAACAAGATAAAATTCCTCTGTCAACTAATACGGGATTTTAAGTAGACTTTCTTGTGAAAAGCAACCTGTTATAACTAAGTATATATTCCTTATTACGACCCAGCTATTCCTATTGCTTAGTATTCTTGGACATCAATATACTCGACAAGTCCCCAAATCAGAACACGGTTGAACAGGGAAGAAATTATATTCCAAATAAGAAGGATAGATGAAGTAGGAAGCGCAATAAAAAATACGTTAGTATATTTATAGATTTTACATGAGAAGCTTCTAGAGTCTTCTCCAAGCAACGATTAGAGCTGATTGGGTAAGAATTAACCAATCAGCGTGCAGCAACATTATTATACATGAAACATGCTTTAATCCAATCTATGTCCCGCTAACACAATCATTTTGCATAAGCGAACTCAAGCAGTTAAAGTTATTTCTCAAATATTAGTTATTCATTTTTACATGAAAAGGGCCATTTGAAAAAATGGAATGTATAGCTAATTCATCTTATGATACTTTTGCAAATAATAATATTTATTTCGACTAGTAAGGTTGATTAACGTGTTGCGCGATAATTTAACTCCCGTGAGTCATAGCGAACCAATATATAAATACAAGTAGTCCATCAATCATTTCATCATTTATATGTGTGCGTGGTGCATCCACATGTCATGAAACACTCTTCTAAGTGTAACCAATCAGTTTCTAGCTAAGAAACCTGTTGTGAATATTAATGAGATTAGACTATTTACCATTTTTACATATATCATAATCATATTCATTCTTACTACTTTTCTCATGTTTCAACCACCGGAAGACGATCACTCTTTCGTTTCGCTGTCAAGCATACAGTCAAGAGCGTCCACTTTAACTAATAATTCACGTAGAAGAAACAAGTTTCCTCATCGTATAATTGATAATTTTCAAAAATGGGCTTTCAAATCATCCAGTCAAAAAGCGTCTCACACTTCAAGTATTTCTTCATTAAACTCAAGTCGTTTGCTAAATGATAACGAATTAAGTGATAGCTGTGATTTAACTTCTTTCACCATATCTGAACGCGAAGAAAGCATTGTTTCCGAAGTAATTCGTAACCGTAAGCAACTGGAATCCTTGGTTTGTGGTCATCCCGATTTTGTTCGCAATCACGACTCACTATCTATCGATCCAGGTATAGTTGTAGTTCTCTCTAATCTTCTTAGGCGTTGTTCACTGTTATATATCGGCTTTGGAAATAGCTGAACTGGAATTACGAAGCCAAGTTCCTTTAGATTCTAATGGGATGTTAAAAATGGAACAAGTCAATCATTCCAAGAATAATTTGGATCGGATACTTAGCGTTCGTAACCCATATAGAAGAATGAGACTACTTAGCCCCTCACCATGTGTTTTGGCCCCAAATAGTAGAATTTCAAACTCAGTAAGGTGTATCAAGTTGCTACATAAGTATTTTTATTTACCATAACTGTTATTCTAAATCATAAATATTTTCGCTTTTTTTCTCAATAGAATATTGAAGAAGATGCGCGACTGGGGTTTGCAAATTTACCTGAACAGATGCACAGGAAAGCTGTCAAGAAGGGCTTCAATTTCACTTTGATGGTTGTCGGTGAGTTAACTTAATCCTACACTCGCAATGTCCATACCTTATGAAAGGGATATTTCTCGTGAATTTAATACTGGGTTGTATAGATTTGTCATATTTAACGTTCATAAAAATTGGCTGTGTTCATTTCAATCTGCAAAATTAACTTGCAATCAAAGTTTAATACTCACTCACTGCACAATCAACATATTTTTTATACATCTACGGTTAAATTTATCGTCAGTATCATATTTCGGTATAGTCTTGTTGGTGAGTCTCAAGCGATATCATTACATCACCTCTTTAACTGTTAATGAACCCTTTAGAATCTCAAAAAATATTTACTAGTGTTGTTTTAAAACACACCTAGCTAGATCTTTATTTTGCATTGATTCGAAGACACTAGCTGTTATTTTGGAGGGGGTTAATAAACGAATTTCCGGTTAAAAGAAATGAATAGATTATTGGTCGTGTGGATGATGCGGAATGATAGAATGCAATGTTTGAAGAGATTACGAGTTCACCTAATTTGAAGATTCTGTGACAATGACCAATAAGCTAGCTAGTCCGATGCGTCACAGCCCAGGTAACTAGAGAGAGAAGTTCAAGTTCGGAAGAGGGAAATAAATCTCACAAGCAGCCAGAAGCACCAACAACCAAAACAAGTACTATATATATATATATTTTGATGTGGTGTGTTTGTACATAATTCATTTGACTGAAATAAAATTACACAGAGTTCTTTAATTAGCACCTGTTAAAACACCTCTAAAGCTGTTGGTCTTTCTTACAAGTAAATCACGTTCTCGTCATGCGATTGTGCCTGATTACAATGGCCATTTTTTGGAGCTGTGGCTTGGTGGTCAAAAAACTCAACTTCCAATCACTCTGTCACTGTTTCAAATCCTTTTACGTCCACTTCTGTTTAGGGTAAACGTATTTACAGGATGCTGCTAACCACCTCAATAGTTAACTGTCAGTTTTCACTCTTTAGATAAATTCATCTCCTACCCAGAGATTCAATGCCTTGAAGTACAAAGACAACATAGACCTGTCTATTAAAGATATAAGTTAATGATACAGAAACATTTCATCAATTTTAGTAGAATGATAGGCAATAAACTATCGGAACACTCACTTGACGTTTGTAAATATAAGATCCCAAAGACATAGCGAAGATATCCATCTACCTATTAAACCAGTGGCATGGATATGACTATTTTCAGTCATCTGTTTTTTCTCTTAATTTTCCATTATAACACCTGTAATCTGTACTCATTTTTACCAGGTTTTAAATTGTTTGTGTATCTATCTAGTTTATTCCATTTTTTATACCCTTTAAAACCTATAATCATCGTATTTTTATGCTTCTGTTATATAGTGATTGACATCATAAATTAATTCAGTTGATTTCTAAATGCTACTCTCTTTCAGGTGAAAGTGGTCTGGGCAAATCAACGCTAATTAACAGCTTGTTTGTCCAAGATTTATACAAAGATAGAGAAATTATTGAAGCAAATAATCGTATTCAAAGCACAACTCAAATTGAAAAACGTCAAATTGAATTGGATGAGCGTGGAGTCAAGTTACGCCTCACTGTTGTCGATACTCCCGGCTTTGGTGACGCTGTGAATTGTAATGACTGGTAAGTTTATCGTGTATATGATTTTAGTTTACTTCTATGTCAAAACCTTAACGTTAGTATAATCAAATACGTGATACGTTTCTTGGTGCTACCGCAATACCATTATTTCGTTAAGTTAAATAATACTTAATGACTGACAACTTGATTTTTTCTTTTTTTATGTTATTTTCTTAATATAATACCAACTTTAAGGACTTTCATTATAGACCAAGACCAGTTAGAGAACTGCATATATCAAGCGGTGCTAGACTGTTCTTTCACCCTAATTTCAGACGTTAATCTGTGTATACTCACAACCCATATTCGATCAAGCTCAAAACCTTTACATTTCATGGGCATCACAATTAACAAGTCCAATCTATATTATACAGGCAACAGGATTTTACGAAAGCTTAGAAAATCCATGTCCATACACTAATAAATAGATGACTATTTATTATGTTGCTCTGTGGAAATTTTTTCAAAGTTAGGCTTTATGATATGCTGAAATCGACCGGTAAACTCATTGTAGTTTACCTAGAGGTAAGATGTCTAAAACTCAGATAAATCAATTCTCTGCTGTTCTTTCTGTTTATCATTGCTTATCTAGACAACGTCAATCTGTGAGATTTTTCCATAAACAACGTATGGAAATGTATGATTTAAAATTATGGAAGGTTCGTTGAAATATAATAATATTATACATTATTTCATCCAAATAATTTTAATACTCTTGGTGAGTAACTGAGTACTTTCCGAGATGCTGATTGTTCCGAAGGTTTGTTTGTAGATCCCATATACATCTTATTATTCAAGGTTTTAGTTAGAATTGATAATTAACACTGATTGCTTTGTTTTATTCAGCTATATTATTAGACAACTGTTTATCTGTGATGTGTTTAAAACTTGTCTTAGCCTTTTGTATTGTACTTTTTCTTAGTTGGAAACCAATAGAAGATTATATAGACAGCACATTTGAGCAATATTTCAAAGATGAATGTGGTCTGAATCGTAAAAATATTCATGATCATCGAGTTCACTGTTGTTTGTATTTCATATCACCTTATGGTCATGGGTAAGTCAATGAACTTTATTTGTTAAGATGTAGTTTGATAATTTAATTAGTCCATCAAATTGTCATATTGATTTGAATATATATATTTATATTCATAGATTTTCATTGAATTCGTACCAGTTACCGTTTTTCTAACCTAACATGTTCAGATAATCTAGCTGTTTTCATTAACAAAATATAGATTCACTGTTTTGTAGTGTCATTTTTTATTATATTTCTGTACATTGGTAAGATTAAATGATTGTTTTTGTTACATAACCAAAGCTCGAAGATATATTAGGTGAATACTAAAGTCATTTGCATATGTAAAATCATGTGATGAACACTAACTAACTTGTTAACATTCATGTTTCTAAGTTTATATATACGTAGCTATCATTTAGCTAAAAAAATCTAATTGATTTAATATTAGTGCAGTGTAGAAAAGTTGTCGAGTTCTCGGTTCATTAGAATTAATCCTAGTTATACTTCTAAGCTAAAATCATTTTTCTGAGTTCATTTTCTTCTATCAATCCGTAATACGTTGATGGAAATGCTTGTATGGTATTAAAGTTATTCATAACCTTTTAAGTAAACCAAACTATGGCATAAAAATTCTCATCTTAATGTATTGTTTTTAGGAATTTACTACTAACCTGTTGAGCTATGAGGAATATTTGTTTTGAGTACAAATGAAATTAATAACTGTCAGACATAAAAAAGTGACATATTATGATTTGAGTTGTTATACTTCAAATGAATATAATAAGAGGAAATTTACAAGAGAAAAATCTAGGTATTTAAATTAATATAAACGAAGTTGTTTTGAAATTGTAACCGATTATTTCAAGGCTATAATCATACCTATGTATTAATTATTTGATAAATTTGTTGCCAACTATTTGATACGTCATCATATGCTGGTTTTTTCAAAACAAGGATAGGAAATTAATCAGAAACTGAATTATTTCAGTGTTTATAACTAGAGTTACGTTCTTCTGTAAAAAATAACTAGAAAGGAGATAATAGTCAAAAGTTTAGAGAAATGTTTCCCTTTGTGTATGTTAACGAATAATGGTTTAAAGTATAATTTAAAACTCAAAATCTAGAGAATGGATCTTCTTTTTGTAGAGATTCATTATCAAACAGTAAGACCGTGTATGAAATTACTAAAATCTCCACAAAACCCCCTTCTGATAAATAGAAAACAATAAAATAAACATGATACAATAGGAGGATTTTAATACTAAATTATATAAATCAAATAGTAATACAATTTTGTGTAACCTCTACACAATGTGCGCAAGTATAATTGTCTGTCCTGTTCTATTTTACGTGAAAGCTAGGAAAATTATCATAAACTTGTACAGCGAATTCCAGTTAATTTGCTTAACGTTAAAGTCCTTCCTCATCCAAGCATTTAAGACAAGATAGCCAATTAAGTATTCAGACCATTAAAGAACTTATTCATCATTATCATTTAAATATTGTTGTTACTTCTTTTTAGATCTATTTTAATTCCCAGATATCGATGTGGCAAACTTTTTAATTTTTTGTTTTGATTCAATTTAGTTTACGCCAAATAGATGTTGAATTTATGCGCCGTCTTCAACATAAGGTCAACATAGTCCCTGTAATAGCTAAAGCTGATGCATTGACTGCTAATGAATTACGTGCATTTAAAGAACGCATAATGACAGACTTTGATCGTTACAAAATTGATATTTATCGTTTACCTGAATGTGACAGTGATGAAGAAGATGAAATCAAACGTTTAGATAAAGAAATCAAAGTTAGTTAAGCATTTATTCATTTATATGGTAGTTTTGTCGTGGTAATCGATGTTTGAGGCGATAAATTTTTTCTACCCAGAACGTGTTCTGACTAAATACTAATTTGTGTATAAATAACCCTAATTGTTAAGGGACTTTTTTAGCCACATAGTCTTCAAGTGGAGAATTGTTATTGCTTCTCTCTATTTTGCTACTCCTCAACACTATAACAGCTTAACTCTCAATTGATCCGTGTATTTCACTGATTCTCCAGTTGAATCTCACTGAAATACTTGAATAAACCCTAGATTCTACGTTGCTTATGACTGACTTATAAATTACAAGTATGTCATCATTATTCGATTATAACATTTAATCTCCTTATGATTAATAATAATTCGTGTAAATTTCGAAAATTTTTGTGTTTTGTAGAGAAGTTATATTTATATTCACACATTTGTTTGCATAAAATATTAAAAATTCGAAATCACTCAAGCAAGCTTGAAACGTTCCATAGCCCAGTATTAGAAAACAAAGTATTTATATTTATTCAAGCTTATCTGTTTGTTAATCATCTCATAACGTTAGCTCTGTTGATTTCCTCATGAATCATGTCTAACAACTTCAAAGTGTCAATCCTATACGAAATTTCTCATATTCCATTTGTAGACGAGAAATACATTTACCATAAATTTATTGTCTCTTTCCAAATTAATTAGGCTAAAATAACTTATATGTGAACATTATATTTGAAATAATCTCAGCGATTGAAGTCTAAATAATTCCAACGTTTCGTCCAGCAAACTTGTCTGGACTTCTTATTACCCTAAAGAAGTCCAGACAAGTTTGCTGGACGAAACGTTGGAATTATTTAGACTTCAATCGCTGAGATTATTTCAAATACAATTTTTACATATAATGGCTTCTCTGTATTCGGCGCCCAATTTTTGTCAAACTGTTCTTTCTAATATTGATGAATATTCGTATAAAATAACTTCTATTGTTCTGATTTGAAGTTGTATTTCTCAAGCTCTGAATAGTTATCATTAATTTTTTTTGAATAGGCTGTCCTACCATTTGCTGTCGTCGGCAGTAATTGTGTTATCGATTTGGATGGTAGTCGTCGAGCTCGTGGTAGACAATATCCGTGGGGGTCAGTTGAAGTAGAGAATAGTCGTCATTGTGATTTTACAAAGCTGCGTATATTTCTGCTAAAGTAAGCATACTCTTATCATTTATATTCAACAGTCAGTTCACTTCCTATGCTTTTTAAAAAATTTATTGATACTGATTTCTTAGACATACTATTTACAATGAATATGACACACTACCATCTGTACCAGGAAAAGTTTTCAATAGTGTTGCTGAACCTGATGAGAGACTCAGTAGACGTCCAACTTCGAGATTAACAGGCTGGATTCCGTAAGGATCGGCCATGAAAAGACCAAATAGCGACACTACGGATCATCGTGGAACAATCAGTTGAGTGGAACTCGTCACTACACATCAACTTCATTGACTATGAGGAGGCGTCCGACAGTAATATCCGAGAATACAACACGGAGAACACCAACTCAGTCACATTTAATGGAAAAGTCCTGGGAGTTGTGGAATCTTTTATGTACCTGGCAAGCATCATTGGTGAACAAGAAGGATCTGATGCAGACGTGAAAGCGAGAATTGATAAAACAATGACAGTATTTCTACAGTTGAAGAATATATAGAATTAAAAACAACTGTCAACCAATATCAAAGTAAGGATCTTCAATACGAACGTCAAGACAGTTCTACTGTATGAAGCTGAAATCTCGAGAACTACCACAACCATCATCAAAGAAGTACACATAGTTATAAATTATTATCTACACAAGATACTTTATGTTCATTGACTGGATACCATTAGCGACACCCTACTGTGAGTGAGAACAAATCAGCCTAAAATTTTGAGATTTGAGTGGTTAGATATATTTGCTTGTCTGTATTGAATAATTCAAAACGTTTGATTGGATTATAGGTATCATTACCAAGTTTTGACTTGATAATTTTTAATAAATCAAGCATTGGGTAGATTGTTATAAATAAATTAATATATATGTAATATCCCAATGAGTAGAAAAATATTTTTTCTGACGTTTCGTGACTCAGTGTAAGCCACTTCTTCAGAGAATAAATAACCAAATTAAGAATTATCCAAGCTTAATTAGTTTGATTAGATTGCTAAAAGGTGTGAAATGAAGATAGCTTAATATATTATGTATATATAATATTGTGTATTGACTGTAGCATAAATAAAATCGAGTGGCATAGATTGATCACCTTGGCCAAATTCACTAAACATTCGAAATTATAACACAAACGTAAAAGCAATATATGGTTCGGTAAAAGAACTGAAAAACAATGATCCCGTTACAAGTTGTTAAGTTGTTTATATTTCCTTTTTTTTAGTTATCACTACCATTTAGTCAGACTTTTTTTCACGAGCAGAGAAATTATTGGTGTTTCACCAAAAAAAAATTTGCTTTTTTTGACAACAGACTTTATTTTGTTTCTTGTTATTTTCCTTAAAATTAATTCTAGGACACATATGCAGGATTTAAAAGATATGACATTGGATGTGCATTATGAAAATTATAGAGCGAAATATATTACTGAACGGATGTCTAAACGTCAAAGCGATCGTCGTGAAGGTGTTAATACTGGAGCGTATGTTATTCACTTAAAAACAATTCACTTATTCTATTTATTCATATTGTTTAATTCAGTCACCCATAAGGTTTGAGTTGTATGACAAACATTCCTAACTAGAATAATAAATTTTCAACATTTTAAAACCGGGTTCAAGACAACGCTAATTTCTTGATTTCCACTCAAGATATATATACTTGACAGTATCCTTACTGTTTTTCTCATATGTTTGTTGCTTTTTCAAATTACTTTACCAGTAATCAAAAGTCTTTCTGGATGTCTGTCATTAACTTCTCATTACCTCTTTATACCAAATATATTGATAGTACTTATTGCATCGTTGAAACGTCCATCTCTCGTGGTATGGAAGTAAAATAACTTTATCACAGAAAAATTTAAAAAAAGTAAGATTTTCCCCATATTGATAAATTCTAAGCGATTTCTACTGGATTTAGGTTGGTTTTTTATGATGCTGTACTTACAACTTTTCACATTTCAGGTATGCGCTACTTGTTTTGTCATTGTCAACCTCTTGTTTCCTATGAATTGTCATCATTCTCTTATCATTTCAATTTGTTTATTGCGTTGAAGAGAATTTCATGGTTTCTGTTAGGGAAAAGAATTTCATTTTGTGGTGCGATCTGTATGTTAGTACCATTTCTTCGCTTTGAATATCATCATTTATTTGTATGAATGTTTTTTGATAGGTTTCAGTCTTAGAATTATTTTGTTTTACCTTTTCAACCTACTCAAACATTATTCAGTAGCATAGCAATTGTTGTGTTTGATAGGATATGGTTGTGTTGATTTTCATGCTTGAACCGTGATCAGCGGCCTATGTTTCTCCACGAGGATAACAGGCGTAAGTAAGTACTTTAGGTCTTCATGTTTCATTTATGAATTATGCATCGTACAATTTCTACCTGTTCATATTTTTTATATGATTAGTAAATCTTGGATGTAACTCAAGCGGTTTATGGAACAAACAAGTAAGCAACTTTGAATGTCCAAGAACACCACTTTGTGAATAGGAATAAATATTTGCTGAACTCTCTGTTCTGCTTGGCGGTTTGGTCCGCTCTTTGTTAGGGAATATATATATGTCCTCTATCAATTTGACGCCTAAACTTTCAGATCCGATTCGTTTAAAGTTTGACAAAGGTCCCCACAAAGTTATATCGTTTTTTGAATATTTCATTTTTTTATTTATATAATTTTAATGGTAATAATAATGTAATATATTCCCTTTTGTCTACTTGTTGGTAGATTGGCAAGATTAGAAAAAGAGGGTGGAACTGGCTTTGAGGCTATTGTTGATCAAGATAGTTTACTAAAACAAAAAGAGGAAGAGGTTAGTCGAGTTACAAACTTTTGTTGTGGTAACATTATATGTTGTGTGTTGTACATGTTATTTTTCAGTCTCTAAATTATAAAATTACCACTTTTAAGAAAATGCAATGTGGTATTGGAATTCTGTACGTCCATAGTTTTCACAATAGGCGATCTGAATTATTTCATATAAATATTTCTGAATTTCTTGAGCTTATTATCTTGTTAATCCACAATATTTTTGTGTCATACATCATTATTCATTTATCTATCCAAAGAAACAACTTTTAAAATATCTTCACCGTACAGTATTCTGAATGTATGTGACATTGATTGTCGTGAAATTTGTGTGCTGGGAATAGTATTCTCATTCTCAGAATAGTATCAACTATATCATTTGATTGAAATATACAGCAGCTTGAACTACTCAGTGTTTACTGAGGTGTCTTTAGTTTATTTAAGTTCATAAAAATTACTGCATTCCAAAATATAGCACATGGCCCTGACAGGTTGACCCCTGAGATTTTTAAGGATGGTGGTCCAGTACTAGCAGTGAGATTGACTGAGGTCTTAGGTAGAATCTGGGAACTGGACGTAATTCCATCTGACTGGTCCCAATCACTGATAGTGCCAGTCTATAAGAAAGGACAAAAGTCCTCCTGTGACAATCACAGAGGGATCAGTTTGACTAATATAGTGTCTAAAATATTAGCTTCAATAATACTAGGTCGCCTAACCAAAGCTCGTGAAGAGCAGACTAGAGAAAACCAGGCTGGTTTTCGACCTGGACGTGGTTGCATAGACCAGATATTCACCCTACGTCAGGTTCTAGAACATAGACACAAATTCAGACGTCCCACAATAGTAGTATTTCTTGACCTTAAGGCGGCATTTGACTCCGTTGATCGTGAGGTTCTATGGCAATGTTTGTCACTGAAAGGAGTACCAAAGAAGTACATTAACCTCATAAAGGCTCTCTACTCGAACACAACTGGTCGAGTTAGAGCCTATGGCGAACTGTCATCAGAACTGATTACCACAAGTGGCGTTCGTCAGGGCTGTCCACTCTCTCCATTCTTGTTTAACTTTGTCATTGACATACTTTTAGAGTTAGCACTTTCATCAGCTAAACCTCTAGGAGTTGAACTTTTACCAGGAGGCTCACTTGTTGACTTAGAATACGCCGACGACATAGTTTTACTCGGTGAAGACGCTGACAACATGCAGAGTCTTCTGACCACTATAAGCAACTATGCAGGCATGTTCGGGATGCGATTCTCTCCCTCGAAGTGCAAAATGTTACTTCAAGATTGGGTTGCATCGACACCTGAACTAATGATAGGGAGTGAAGAAGTTGAGCGTGTTGACTGCTTCACTTATCTTGGGAGTCTCATCAGCCCTTGTGGTCTGGTATGTGACGAAATCTCAGCATGGATACCGAAGGCTCGTCTAGCTTTCGCCAACTTGCGTCATTTATGGCGTAGGCGAGATATCCGTCTAGCAACCAAAGGACGGGTTTACTGTGCAGCAGTTCGCTCCGTCCTACTTTATGGCAGTGAAACATGGCCGATAAGAGTAGAGGATATTCGTAGGCTACTAGTGTTCAATCATAGGTGTCTTCGAAGCATTGCTCGTATATCCTGGGACCACCGGGTAAGTAATGCAGTTGTTAGGAAACGAGTACTAGGTAGGGATGGCAAATCGATTGATGAAGTAGTGAAACTTCATCAGTTGAGATGGCTGGGACATGTGTTACGTATGTCCGACCACCGACTGCCCCGACGTGCAATGTTTCATGGTGTAGGAGTAGGTTGGAAGAAAGCTAAGGGTGGCCAGACCAAAACGTGGCACAAATCAATGAAGTCACTGACAAGTGGACTGGGCCATGTTGGTAGGTGTAGACTACCTAGTTGTGATTCGCGAGATGACAGCAACAGATGGTTAGAGACCTTGAATGACATGGCTCAAAATCGTTTGCAGTGACGAAGGTGTATCCACTCTTTGTGTTCTACCAAATTCTAATCTTCTGAATTCCTCATGTCTTTATCTTTTTCTCTTTCCAAATTTATTTCACTGTACTATACTCCTTCAATAATTTCTTCAAACCCTAATCTTTTGGATTTCTGATTATACTCTTACTACTTCTACCACTATGGGATTTGAATCGACAACTGCATCTCTGTGCTAATGTGGTATGGCAACTCGAACTGATATACGTACGTACGAAGTTCTACGTTGTGACTGACTGACTAAAAATATAGCACATAGTAACCTGCTTTATCTTGAGTGACGTCTGTTGGGTGATGGTTATAAGTATCATCTGAATGTCTATAAGTAAAATGAAACTGAAACCTACGACCGAATCATTGTAATATGAATGGCAAAATCTTTAAATTATTTCTAATTTAGAAGTGCTAAGTTGTACTGTAAAGCGGCTGTCCTTGAATTCCTAACCGCCAGTGGTGATGGCTGGCAGGAGTTGATTAGAAGAAAGCTAGTCGGAACTAAACTGATTAGTGAAATCAATTCTCATAGTCATTGAATGTCTGACGCTTGGTGACGGTGATTGACTACTTGGTTGAATTGAGAGCGATAATTGTGATTAAAGATTAGAACCGTTGGGTGGAGACCCAAAATCGACCACAATATTTCAGTTCATTTTGTCCCTTATCTTCAACCAGAACCTTAGTTACAGTATTATTCCCTAGTTTTTTACATGATTTTTTATGGTTATTAGTCTTATTACCCTACTACCTATGTTCTGACTCTGTAAGCATATATTTTTTTCATTTAATCTCGTTGTGCCGAAGTTGTCTGTTTCAGATTTTACACAAAGTAAATTTTTTAGGGATTTCAACGGTTTATCTTTCCAGATAGACCATTTTCATGCAAACTGTTCAAAATTGACAATTAAGATGAATATTCATTTTAGAAGTTACTCAGATCTGGTTAACACATTTTGTGTGTTAATTTTATGCTGTTTTACTATACATATTATTCAATAGTATGAACTTGATAACCTTTTAGGTAATTATGGTGTAGTTTGTTGTTTTCTCGAAAGATAAAATTAGATTTTTGTACGTCATACGACTTATTCATTCGAATTCGTACAATTTCGTGTAATCTTTAGAAGTTAACTGTTATATCGATTGGGAGCGTGTATGCGTGCCCTGGTTGATATATATGAACGTGCCTAAATCTTCAAATTCACGGTACAAAATAGTTGCGTACTGAAGTACCTGAGATAAGCAAAATTAAAGGACAAAATTTAGGATCAGATCAATATTTTACAAACCAATATAAAGTGATCAGTAAAGCACAAAAGTCCTAATCTACTTATGAAAAGTGTTATAACTTGTGTGTCTGCCTGTGTGCCCAGTTAATATATGACGTGATGATTTCCGCCAATTAGAGAGCAGAGATTTATAGATCGGACCCGTGACACACGAAATCCGTACGAACAGTCTAGAGTACTTATCGGTCCTGCTTCCTGCTTAGCCCAGTCAGTTAAGTCCAGAACACCAATAACAGTCTCTGCAATATGAATCATTATTCACAAACATACTGGGTTTATATACCAATCAAACTGACCACATCGTACCTTAAATTGAAAATAATATTTGTATAAGATTTGGCCAAATGTGGCTATGAATAGGGGGAACAGTAATTAATAGACTGGGGATGAGTCGTATTGTGGTGTGAGCTACTGATGTCGACATAAGTAGTATGTATGGTGAGTAAGGAATAGAATATCTGACAGCAGAAGATTGAGAAGATCAAGAAGAGAAGAACAGAAATAAAAAGCAATTTGTGTGGAAATCCAGGAACAATGAAGTCTGAGGCAATTGAAGAACATTTTGCAAATAGTGTATCATAGCATGGTTTTTGTATTTTACCAAGTAACGTTGTAATTTGTGCTGAATACATAGTTGGTTGTCCTCACCTGTGTTCTCATTCACAACATTTGGTATCGCTGCCTCCAAGGATGAAGATTCCATGGCCGAAGGAATTTGAGGACGGAGATGTGCTGGGCTTCCTGAAGGAGTTCGAAGCTGTGGCGGAGCTGGTGGGGGTGAAGGAGCCGAAGGCGAAGACGGTGGTGCTGGGGACGCTGCTGAGAGGCAGAGCGAAAGCTGTATATGACAGCCTGGACGGTGCGGGCGGTAAGACGACATGGGAGGCAGTCACGGAGCGGTTGACCGTGGAGTTCGATAGCCCAGTGGACAGAGAGGAAGCACTGCAGAAGTTCCGAGTGTCGAAGTTGCCGATCGATGGTGATCCGCTGGTGCTGGCCGTGGAGCTTACCAAGTTGCTGCGTCGCGCTCTGCCAAATCTGGATGAGGAGTCGGAGGCACAGTTGTTGGCGTCTCAGTTTATCGAGAGCGTGCCTGTTGCCGTTTCCCAGCAGCTGAGATTGGTACACGCCGCGCAACCTATGGATATCAGTGAGCTTGCAAAGGTGACGCGACAGTTGATGACACAAACAGTAGCTCCGGTCGCGTGCGGAAGTCAGGAGATAAGCAGCATTGAGAAGAAGATTGAAGAACTGCAACACGAGATTGCGGCATTACGAGTGATTCGTAAAAGTAATGATAAGTGTTTCGCATGTGGAGGGACAGGACACTGGAAGATAAACTGTCCAACACGACGAAAACGGAGATATTTTAGACGTTACGTGTTTCCTTCTTACTCTAGGGATCTGGGGGTTGTTGCATTAGTAGATAGAGGGTCAGTCTATGCAAGAGTAAACGTAAATGAACTAGATTTAGTGTGCCTAATCGATTCAGGGGCAGCAGTTTCGTTAATAGGTAAAGAGCAATGTAAAAGTTTTAAGCCGTGTAAAGTCGCAGTTCACACTATAGGAGGGCATATGTTAGAGGTATTGGGCCTGTCTAACAGTATCGTAAAAGTGGATGGTTCGGAGATAAGTTTTCCGTTCGTGGTAACCGCAAACCTGTCGAGACCAATATTAGGAGCAGATTTCCTAAGAGAAGTAAAAGCCATATTTGACCTAAGAAGCGGTAAGGTGGTCACGAAGTACGGTTCATTCTCAATACATGAAAGTAGCGAGGTGGCTGAGGTTGGAGTGGCAACAGCCGTTGTGACGAAGAAACCAAACATCACCGAGTTGTGCAAAAAGTATGCGAAACTGTTTACTGGAGAAGGAGAACCGTACGGATTTTTCGACAAAGTAAAGCACGAAATCCCGATAAAGAACAATGGAGGAAGTATATTCACAACACGTCGTGTCCCTGTGCACTTAGAGGCTGAAGTAAATCGACAGGTCCAAGAGATGCTGAAAGAAGGAATAATTGAGGAGGCGGACAGCCCGTATAGCTCACCGGTACTCTTGGTAAAGAAACCGAATGGGAAATATAGATTTTGTGTTGATTTTAGAGAACTGAATAATATAACAGAACTAAAGCCGTGTGCAATGCCAACAGTAGTGGAAACATTAGATCGGCTGCAGAATGCCACGGTGTTTACAGTGTTGGATTTGCGTTCAGGTTATTGGCAGCTGCCTATAAAAGAGAGCGATCGAAGCAAGACAGCATTTACCATACGTGATAAACAATATCAATTTAAACGAATGCCGTTCGGATTGGCGGGCGCACCATTTACGTTCAGAAGATTAATGCCGCTACTGCTCAGGGATCTGGATAACGTCGAAGTGTATGGCGACGATGTAGTCGTATACAGCCAGACAGAAACAGATCATGTCAAGCATGTGGAAGCGGTCCTAAAGCGAATTGAAGAATTCGGACTTCGAATTAATAAGGACAAGTCACAGATGGCGAAAAGTAGCATCACGTTGTTGGGGCATAAAGTGGGAAATGGAGAAATAAAACCACTGCCGGAGAAAATTCTGACTATAAAGAACGTTGCAGTACCGAATTCGAAAAGGAAATTGAGACAGTTCCTGGGAAGGGCGGCGTTCTACAGTCGGTTCATCAAGAATTTCAACGAAATAGCAGCACCTCTTTATAAGTTGTTGAGTAACACTAAATTTTCGTGGACTGAAACCGCCCAACAAACGTTTAATCAAATCAAAAACATGCTGGACGACCGCCAGATGACGCTCAGACTGCCCGAACTGGAGAAACCGTTTACAGTGATAACAGACGCAAGTGACCATGGTATAGGTGCAGTTTTAAGTCAGTCTGATAGAGTGGTGGAATACGCAAGTCGCGTTCTCACGCCTGCGGAACAGAAGTATTCAACGATCGAAAAGGAGTGTTTAGCGATTGTGTGGGCAGTAGACAAGTGGAGACCATATCTGTTAGGTAAACGATTTCACATCGAGACTGACCATAAACCTCTGCAGTGGCTACAAACAGCACGAGACCCACGTGGGAAGTTGGCGCGATGGATGATACGTCTGCAGGAGTATGACTTCAGTATCGGGCATGTTCCAGGGAAGGAAAATGTAATGGCGGACTATCTGTCAAGAACAGACATGGAAGCCGAGCTTCCATTGACAGCATACGCAGTGAACAGTATAGAGGGAGACCCACTAGAACTCGTCCGGCAACAGAAATCTGATCCTAAACTTCGAGAGGTAATCAGAGTGATAAGAGAGGGGGCAGATTTTGACAAACGAGCAATGGACAAGGAGGCAATAATGTTGCTTCGGCAAAAGGAAAGACTGAAAGTGAACACATATGGAGCTCTGGTCTGGCAGGATGATGACAAAAATTGGGTGCCTGTGATCCCGAAAGATTGGCGGCGTAAGATGATACACGAATGCCATCAGGTAGCGCACACAGGTATCGCAAGAACGACAGATTTACTACGGCAAAGTGCATACTGGCCAGGCATGAGAGACGATGTGGCCCAATATGTGTTGACGTGCCAGCAGTGCCAATTAATGAAAAGCGATAGATACGTGCAACCGCCATTGCAGTCGGTCCCAGTAACCGCAGTTGGTGATCTATGGTCGGTAGATGTGATGGGACCATTTCCACAGACGGATAGCGGCAACCGATACTTACTAGTAATGACGGAACATGCTACACGATGGGTCGACGCTGTACCGATTGCCGACCAGCGGGCGAAAACAGTGACCGAAGTAATAATCCGGCACATTGTAGCAGGTCATGGAGTACCGAAGATGATACTAACCGACCAGGGTCCCTGTTTTGAAAGTGACGAGTTTAAGGCCCGTTTGAAGCAGTTCGGTATCAAGAGGATACAAACTACACCGTATCACCCTCAGACGAATGGGCTTACGGAAAGAAACAACCTGACATTAAAGGAATGGTTAGCATCTAAAGGAGGGAATTGGGAGAAAGAGTTACCACTAATATTGCTGGCGCATCGTGCCTCCATCCAAGGAACAACTAAGATATCACCTTTCCTACTTATGTATGGTAGACAGCCACGACTTCCGATGCATAATAAGACGTGGCCACAGCAGCAGAAGTGGACGGCAACAAGATTAAGGAAAGAGAGGACGGAGGCAATAAAGAACGTGAAAAAGAAACAAATATCAGACACCAAGAAGGCGGAACAGCAGAGAAGAGCATGGAAGATTTTTAGAGTGGGGGACCTGGTAAAGTGTAGAGAACGGAGAGCTAATACTGAAGGGGGACCAGGGTCAGGAAAGCTGACCCCGAAATGGGAGGGACCGTACATTATCACGGAGAGACGCGGCCCAGTTTACACGATCCGGAGAGAAGACAAGCAGAAGCGTGTAAATGCCAGTCAACTACAGAGATGGTTTCGGGAACATCATGAGCACGAGTCACGAACAGCACCAAAGGAGACAATGGTACGGCGATCAGAAAGATTGCGAGAACAGCTTATTAAAAGGGGGGACGAGTGTGGTGTGAGCTACTGATATCGACATAAGTAGTATGTATGGTGAGTAAGGAATAGAATATCTGACAGCAGAAGATTGAGAAGAACAGAAATAAAAAGCAATTTGTGTGGAAATCCAGGAACAATGAAGTCTGAGGCAATTGAAGAACATTTTGCAAATAGTGTATCATAGCATGGTTTTTGTATTTTACCAAGTAACGTTGTAATTTGTGCTGAATACATAGTTGGTTGTCCTCACCTGTGTTCTCATTCACAACAGTATATTAATAGTCTATAGGTCAAAATAAAGCTCATAATAAGAGGGACACGAATATGGATACTTTAGTTACTTATAAATTATAGAGTAGGAAATATACATATCATATTGGTCCACAAATAGTCCTCAAAGTTACCATTCATAATTCTCCACGGGATACAACATTAACTTTATCAGTAAAAACATAGTTTGGATATATTATCAATGATCATATTAGCCTTAAAATTGTTTAAGTTAACGAATAGTTTCTAAATGTTTTCTGATATAAGACGATGTTTATCCAATATTTAAAAAAAATTAGATAATTAGAATTTACATAACGTGTTTAAAATGATGGCCTTTAACTCATTAGTATATGCTAAATGTTATCTATAGAGTTAGTTTTATATATTTATGTAATACATTCCATTGTAATTTATATCTTGATCGTTGATTAAATTTTTCATTGATTTTTACTGAAGTTTATTCATTTACAAAATAATTCAGATCTCAATAAAAAGAACATAGTACAACGAATTTCAGTTAATAATAATCAATCTCAAATAATATGCAATAACTTAAAATGAATAGGTATAGATCTAAGTTGACGCTCATCGTACACTGGGGAACACAGCTAGAATATGTGAATATCAGGTTTACCATGGTGGTCTCGCTTCAATTGATTAATAATTTCAACTATAAAATTACTAAAGTCTCCACAAAATCCCCCTCTAATCATTTGAATATTCACTGCAATTCTTGTAGTACATAGTGTTTACACATCGAATAATAGAAAGCTTAATGATATTACGTAACAGCACTGTCAATTATATCATAATTGTTACTCACTTTTTATCGGTAGTAATCAAAACTTTCGAAAACACTTTATTATTATTGGTAAACTGATAAATAATTTTCGGTACATATGTGTTTTTTTCTCTAGCTTCAGAGAATGCAACAACTAATGAGTAAAATGCAAGAACAGTTGAAACGTAATACCAATGTTGTACCGAACCCATCAGTTAGTTTAAATAATGGTACAGGTAATGCTCAATCTTCTCCAATTCCTGTAACTGGTCAGCAAGCGTCTTGAATACAAAAAGCATATAGGCTGGCTAGGATTCAAAATCCCGTTATCACACTTGTTTATGTCTTATTATTTTGCTTAACATTCAGTCGATGAGTTCGCAATATAATCAATATAATGTGCTAACAATAATTATTTTATCGTTTATACTTGCAAAACTATTTCTTCTTTCTTTCCTTGAATCTATACAACATTGTCTAATTAATTGTTTGTGTCTACTTATGTTTATTCAATTACCGGTTTCATATAATCTTGTTTTAATGAAAAAGTAGACAGAAATTCTACTTCCTTTTTTTAAAAAAATGAACTTATTATGTTGCACATTCTTAGTTTTTCAATTATGTTCGCATTTCATTAAAAATAAAGGTAGAAGGAACTGTTAGTTTTCTCTTTAACTGATGGTGTATTGTTTTTTCTTTCTCAATTTTTGTAGGTCAACATAAATTTCTTGCTTTTTTTTCTTTTTCTAATTAATCATGAATGTGCATTTTATCTTACCTTTATAACATTAAACCAAACCAATCGATTACTTTCTTTTCATTTTATTAATCTAGTCTATCTTATTCATAATTTTTTATTACTTTATGGTTACACCAATTTCTGTTACATTTTGTCTACTAAAAATTATATTATCTGATGTGAAAAAACTCTACATTTTTGTTTTCGTACGCATTTTCATACTTTTTGTTAAATTTTGTCTTTTCACTTCATTTTATTATTTCGTCTATTTAACTTTTTTAAAAAATGAGGTGAATAAACCATGCTTGTCAGTATCCTAAAATATTGTGTTCATTCATTTTTGTTTTTTTTTGTCTTAAGTAGGTTTTTTTTTCTCTTTATGTACTTAGCTGCTTATATTTGACGGTTTCGTGTAAAATATATGTTATGTACGCGTAATTGGTATCTCCCAATTTACTAAATATATAATTGGAAAAGTGTTGGAAAGCTAACCTTTACTCATCTGTAAGATATTTCACATCAACACCGAAAATTAAGTTTCTGTACAATGAGCTCATCTCATATAATTTAAGCTTTATGAACAAAAATTTTTACAGTTACCGCTCTCTGTTAATTCGACAGAAATACCTACAAATGTAATTACGATGGCGAAACGACCCTCGGAATCTTATTAGCTTATAGTCTCATATGAAAAATACTTCAGAAATAATCCTTAGGATCTTAAAACTTGAAATTAATATTGCTAACAAACCAACACAAGAACCTTATTACAATTTGTTTAGACAGAAAGATATAGCAGCTAAACAAAACGTTACAAGTGGTAAGGATAAAGTCAGTGAGTAGTCCGTTTGGAATCCAAGTGAGGACCGGATCGCGTTTTTGGACAAGATCATTAGAGCAAACTCTTGGAGATTTTTAACGTGATTGATCCTATTTAAGTTAGGTGCTTATGAATTTTTTCCACTACGAGTTGCAACACAAACTTGTGTACTATTTCTAGTTTTCGAAAGATGTCCTACATGTTTATGTAAAGGTGTTTCAGAGTACACAACCTCTATATTGAAAGGTTATAAATTTTAGACCACTTAAGCTTGTAGTTCGATTAAACATAAGATGCAACGATTTTCACCCACTAATTATAGTTCGAATTGATTCTCCACAGAAGGTAGGGATATTCTTATGTACGATTGAATTAGATGAATCTTTGAGAACTGGTTATTCCAGAAGCGTTAATACGAGTCAAACCCTAGAAAACGGTTTGTAGTAGCTAGGATAGACTCGATTTTTTGTTGTCGATCCATGTCTACTGGAGGGACGACATTGGCAAATAATTAGGCCTCCAAGTGCTTACCCATTGGAACGTCATTTACTTCAAGTATTATTTAAAAAGCATCAGTTTGAATGAGTTTAATCATGCCTTGCATTGATTATATGACTTCTGAGCATATATGGCCGTGTTATATATATATCGTTTCATCAACTTGATCTTCAGAACATAAAGGATTAAACACGCGTTATGTTGGTCACTTCTCAGTGATCAATCAACTGCAAACAAGTCAGTCGCGACCCAAATAGCTTAATGGTAGGGTCTCAACACATGATGCAGGTTCAAATCTCACAGAAAATATCATCCCCCTAACATCACAGGTAGATCTTGCCAACGAGTGCCAAGTAACACGGAAATCAGGTACAGGGTTTCGTGTCGACTATCCCAACCGCCTAACAGTCCATACGAAGTTACTTAGACCAGGGGCCACACCACAACTTGATCGATAAAATACAACCAGCGCTAAATCGACTATAAAGATATGACATCTTTTACTACTCAGTGATTGGTCAGTTGCCAACTACTGTTAAATAAGGTATGCAGGACTACCTTCTCAGTGCGTTTCTTTTTTTCTCACAATAACAAGTAGTTAGAAAAGCAGTAGAAGGTACATATTAGTAATAAATTTTGGTAATATGTACTAAGTAAATAGGTGTGGTGATTTTTATTAAGCATTTCTGGGTAGACTGCCAAGAAGTTCTCTCATATTTCTGTTACCGTATAAAAATTAAATAAAAAAACATTACTGACGCAAAAATACAAACATTTCTGAACTTTCTAGTTATCGATTTTTTCAACCTCGAGGTAGATATGTGATTGAAATAAAAGAAAATAAAAACAAATCGTAAGTATAACATGGATTAGCAGGAAGAGAAGCAAACAACAAATTAAAGTTAATTTAGGTTTGTAAAAATCAAAAGGTAGTCAGTAATAAATTGCCTGTGAATAAAAAGGTGAATAAAGTATGAATTAAAAATAGTCGAGATAAAAATAAATTATAGGACAAATCAACATAATCTAGCCAAGAACTTCCTTATCTTTTCATAATGGACAAACAACAGTAATCGATAGTTCATAAATATAAGTGAATAAAAACAATTAAGACCCTATACATTTTGTACATTTGGCTGTTCTGTTGTTGTTTGCTGACGATTTTGTTCTTTTGATTGTGCTTCACTAACTAATCTTCTTAATTCCTCTTCATTTGTTTTAAACATATCCTCTTCATTTTGAGCAGTCTGGAAAAAAAGAAACAGTAATACTGTTAAACATATGATCTATATGTCGTTATATAGATAATATATGTTACAATGGGAATAAAGGAAAATCTTACTTCTTAAGTCATGAAGGTTAGCGAACGTGATTTTAATTAAATATAGACAAGAAATTAATTACATATTATTCGCAACCTTAGATGGTTTTGTGATTTATATACAAAGAATCAGAAATCGAAAGATTTTAGTATGCTGTATAAATGAATTTTAATATGGTGTATTAAGGGTATGTGGTTTAAACAAAAAAATTGAATAGTTGGTTATGTTGTTTTCATAAGACTGCTGATCTTTGGTGTAATTAATAAGTGAAAAACTTTCAGACTCAGCATATAGTTTAGAAATAATAGAAGTCAATCGATTAAGATAGTGACTTAGCACCATTACGGTGGTCAGGTCGTATGTTATGCAAGTCTAGCAGGTAAGAAACCATAAGGGATGCAATGCAAAACGTAGACAGATATAGGAATGACCAGCTGTTTGGGAAACAAAGAAAATAAGTGTATCAGTATGAGGATTTGTAGAGATTGTAGTATTTTAACAGAAATTCTTCGGTCAACAACTGTTGTGATTCAGGTGCTTTTGCATGTTTTTACAATTTATTAGATTAAATTTATTGTTAAAGTTGAAATCAGGGATCGATTAAAGCTAGACCACAATTGAGAAGCTGGAAGCACTAGACGCAAGTTTCGTCCTAGTACGTGACTCCTCAGTAACACGATCCCGCGCATAGGACTCAAACCCAGGACCTTCGGTCTTGCGTGCGAACACTTAGCTTTTAGACTACTGAGCTGATATTGAGAGCCAACCAGAGGTATAAAAAGATCGATCGATATCAATCAGAAGTGGCCCAAAGATCAAGTGCATTTCACTGGGGTCAGCGGGTCGATTTCTTAAGGATAGAATGATATATATATATATATATATATATATATATATATATATATATATATATATATATATATATATATGAGTATTTGTGCGTTTTGTTAGGTAGTCTAATAAATTTTCTCGCTCAAGCAGTAAGGTGGGGGGGGTAGCGCATAGTACATCGTGTATCAGCATCAGATTTCGAACACCACACGTAACAACAGCACCTGAATTACGACAATTGTTGATCAAACAAGAATTCCATTGTAATGAAATAAATGATAAGTTAAAAATACGGATTATAATACTTCACAACATGTTAAAGAGTAAAATAGTTAATACTCAAGAAAATTTTTGTAGCCAACATTATACCATAAATTTGACATGTCATTAAACATAGATTTAACAAGAAAATGTAATTAATACTTTTGTGCGTAGTTTTATCGAGTTACATTTAGTTGCGTCAAACATATGACTGACTATACATTCCAAAAATCCGTACGTTAGTTCTAAATATTTATTCCGTCGTGCAGATAATTTGGCTAATTTTTACGGAAAGATTGTATTGTCCATTCGTTATCTAGAGTTCAAAGATTTCTTTTCAGTCTAGATATTCTTGTCATTTATAAATGATTCAATATTTCTATGAACATATTACTGATAAAACTAGGTTTATGATGAACATCTGTCTGGCTGTTGACAAATTACTCCACTTATGATATACACGATATATCGGCCTATTAACTAGGTGATGAGGAAATAGCGTAGCGATCCGCATAGCATTATTTTGAAGATGTGAAACATAGCTTATGAGCATCAAGGACAACCGCAGGTTGCTAAAATCCGATCTCCAAACCAATCTTCGTGCATTTTAAAATAATCGAATGGGTAATACCGAGGTAAGGCTAAGGATACGAAGTAAAAGATCAACGGTGAACTTATCAGTCTTCATCGACTGAGGTCGTTGAGGGATTAGCTACATGTATCTAACCACAACCTCTTAGGTCAAGGATACAAAGAGCTAGCTTAGGTCTAGCCAACTTGTAATGTCGATGGAATATATGAGATGTCTTTCCCCTTATTAAAGGGTGAGTGTACAATGTAGCGCCCCGCTTTTTGATGACGTATTGCTGTAAAGCATAATGGTTGAAGGCTAAGGAAATGCATAAGCTACAATTATTTGATCCAAAGTCTGTTAAAAAAGTTGCCAATCTATGATGAAAGCACTGATAGATTAATGATGTAGTTAAGTAAAGTGTACTACGTAAAGATGGCAAATCGGTTGATAAAGCTGAGGTATATGGGACGTGTGTTATACATCCAACAACTACTTAACGCAGTGCATATTGGAACCGGAGTGGTAGCTAAGACAGACATATCACAGTGTAGTATTGTTTTACAAATTCGATGACGTCTCATCCGCATTGGTAAGTGTAAACTTCATGGTTGGGATTCGTGAGACAATCCCAATACTTAGTCGGAAATTTTGGGTGGCAAGGCCTTAGATCAACCGCGGTTGATCAGTTACATTCACTTCTCTCTTTTTGAATATTGATTTAAGGGTCATTCATAAATCTCTCATCAGGTGATCACACTTCTTAATCTCTGAGTGAGTATATAAGTGCGCATGAATCGCAAACAATTTAGTACCATCAGATTAACACTTTGCAAATAGTGCTACGTATTTAGTTTTATAAATGTAGCGAAGCATCAACTAGAAATCTCTGTACATTTAATACAACCATACATCACATCGTTTTGACCCCTTTTACTTTAAACGTATTCAAAATTATTGCACGCAATTGTGTGCAAAGCTTATTATCATACAAAAAAGGACAAAGTGAGAAACATGTTCAAAAGCATTGATATCTGAGGTCACATTAAGTATTAGTAGAAAAATTATTACTATAAATATTAAAAACTTAGATGAATATAATACAACAATACTAACCATCCAATCACGATCATATGATGGATAAGGCTGATTAACACCTCTTAGAAATTCATCACGAGAAACCAAGTAATTACCATCTGTGTCGAATCGGTCCATAAATTTCTGTCGCATTTTTTTTTTATCATGTCTTTCTTCCCATGGGTCGTAATCTGGATCTTCAGGATTATAAACCTTTTCAAGCTATAAATAAGACACTTAATTTACTCATTTATGCTTTTATGTAGTGCTGATTACTGTTGAAATAAATTATTTTACGAAAAAAAAAAGTTATATAGTGAGAAGAAATGTGTCTAAACATTTTGAGAACAGTTTACTGTTGGGTGATTACCTAGTTGAATAGGTTGTATCCTGTAGCAAGCCCATTCAACTATTGCATTATTTGTGTGTTCTCTGTAATTTAGACATTTAATCCACTTTGTAAATTTATATGTGAGTCTGATTGAGCGCATGTGTCTGCACATAAATTTTTAATCTATTCCATCATTGGTTGTAAACAAAGACAGTCAATAATTTATCCACAATCTATTAACACTCATAAATATATATGGATTTTTAACACTCATTAACACACACACACTGACTTGTTTTTCCTGTGTGCTTGCTATCTGCACGCTTGCGGATTTTACCAAACTTCAACAATAAACTATCTCTATAACTGGTGTTCAGGTTTTTGAATAATCTCGAGTAAACTCGTAATTCTAATAGGAGATTTAGCCTGCATTAAATTTTCAGTTAACGGGATATTATTTATTTATTGGAGTCAGATATGGAGGAATTAATCCTCTACAATCCATCTGTTTGTGATGACTGGACGATAAGAATTTCATTACAACTAATCCCATCAAAATGTGATTACTAAGACGAGAGAATATGGAGATAAAGCATCGAAGCATACAAAGGGGTTGTAATCAGAGACTACTAAACTAATTAATAAGAAGTCTTTCTCCTCAAATAAAACTGTTCGATTTGTGTAGTTCTTAAAACATAATATAGTTGGGTATATAATTTATAGAATGATAAGCTTAGACTGGCCCATCGATTGATTCGCGTATTAAGAAGCCAAACAATGACTGAAGTGCTCAACAAAAGACAAAGGTAAAAGGACACGTATTGTTAGTTAAGTGGTAGTCTGCTTTTTAGGTTTCAACGGGTTGAGAGTTTAGACATCATGATGAATTTACACATTGTAGTAATGTTCATATAGTTTATCACTGTTAAATCTATTTTTAGATTGTCCAAATAAGTTAGTGCTTCCACCAATCAATATCTTACTGCTACAGTATATAATTTCAGTAGTGTTTTATTGTTGGAGTGCATAACTATATTTATTAAGTGAAAATAAAAGCAATGAAAGCCTCTTATATTAGAGATTTCTTGTGTTTCAAAGATGTAGTGAGGAAACACAGTTGATTCAACTTTATTTATTTGAAGAAATCAATTGATTTAAAAATCATTTAGTCTATCTGGCTACACACTCAATTTAACCAACAACGGCCCAGTATTTGTAACACATCTTAACTACCTTGAACGATGAGAATTCACAATTTCATCAATTTACTACGTAGAAGTAGGTTCAAGTTTCAGAAGTTTAGAGACTAAATATAAAAACCATCAGAGATTTATGTTACATAACTACTTTAATATCAGCAGAATGTTAAATAGCCTGTTCATTCAATTTTTATATTGATTATAGTTCTACTCAGAATTTTCTAAACAGCTGAATCATAGTAACTACGCATTAACGTACAGAATATAGTTATTTTTAAAGATATAGGAGTGACATACATGAAGAACCATGGTTGCAAATTTTAACTTTCAAAAAACGCTCTTATTCAACTGAACATATATCTAGTTATGAAATATGAAATTCTTTATATATATTGGTTGTTTGGACTTTGTTACGAGCGTTTAAAACTGCAACGAACCAATCATCTTTGGCATATATGCATCCCGTGCAGATATTTTTATGTCTGCCATCAATTATCGATGCAGTGTGTTTTATAGAACAAGAAAACAACAATTAACACCAGTCGAACAGGAGCAGAGGAAACCAAGGTACAATCTGAATACACAGAACCAAACAAGAAAGTGAAGAAGAGCATTAGAGCTGACTAGTAATAATACGTGGAAGAGCTAGCAACGACAGAAGAAAAAGCTTGAACAGAAGGAAATATGCGACAACTATATGATACAACGAAGAAACTAGAAGGGAAATATATTAAACCTGAGAGACCGGTCAAGGACAAAGAATGCAAAACAATCACGGAGATTCAAGAACAAAGGATTTTAATGGGTTAGTAGAAAATAGGATCCAAGTCGTGCTTTCAGTTCTTCAAAAGCTGTTTGACATTGTTTGGTCCATTTCCATTCAGTATTCTTTTTGAGCAGATGATTAAGTGGTGTTCGCTTTTCATGCAGGAATGGCAAAAATGTTGAGTAATGACTGATAAGTCCGAGGAACGAAAGTAGAATCGGTAGGTCGGGTGGGGCAAGCATTTTCTTGATAGCCTGGATATTTTCAGGGTTAGGGCGCCATCCAAAACTATCAAATATGAATCCAAGGTACTTCACAGATCTTAGATAGAATTGAGATTTATCTGGTCGTAATCTGAAACCATGTTCCTTTACACTGTCCATCACGACTGTGGTTCAGTGATATAACTCTTCTGACGATACTGCAACTATGATTATATCGTCGAAATAAACGGCTACACCCGTAATACCACTTAATATGGTATATATTGATTGCTGGAATATCGATGGTGCTGTCTTCACTCCAAAAGGCAGTCGATTATAATGAAATTATACTCAACACATCAAATCTCGACAAAAGACAGGAAGAAAACGGAATTGCAGGAGAACAAGCAACTTGCAGATGACCTAGCCCTCCTCTCTCATACACACGAACAACTGCAGATGAAAACCGCAAATGTAGCAGCAGCCTCCGCATCGATAGGCCTCCACATTCACAAAGGAAAAAGCAAGATTCTCAAATGCAACACGGAGAACACCAACCCAATCACACTTGATGGCGAAACTCTGGGAGAGGTGGAAACATTCAAGTACCTGGCGAGCATCGTTGATAAACAAGGAGGATTGGATGCAGATGTAAAGGCAAGGATTGGCAAAGCAAGAACAGTATTTCTACAGTTGAAGAACATATGGAACTCAAAACAACTCTCAACCAACATCAAAGTAATAATCTTCAATACGAATATCAAGGAAGTTCTACTGTACGGAGCTGAAACGTGGAGAACTACTACAACCATCACCAAGAAGGTACAAGTATTTATAAACAATTGTCTACTCAAGATACTCGATGTCCGTTGACCGGATAACATCAACAACACCCTACTGTGGGAGAGGACAAACCAGCTTCCAGCTGAAGAGGAAATTAAGAAAAGACATTAGAAGTGGATCAGACATACATTAAGGAAATTACCAATGTGCATCACGACTCAATCCCTAACTTGGAATCCGGAAGGGAAGCGGAAAAGAGGAAGGCCAAAGAACACACTACGCCGGGAAATAGAAGCCGATATGAAAAAAATGAATAGCAACTGGGAAGATCTGGAAAGGAAGGCTCAGAACAGAGTTGGATGGAGAATGCTGGTGAGCGGCCTATGCTCCTCGACGAGGGGTAACAGGCGTAAGTAACTCGAACGAAATCGGTACAAAAGTTGTTACTGTGGTAGCAGAATATGACCTTGGAGCATGTAGCAATTTAGTGAACTAAGAAAACATGACAACCAATCAGAGGGCAAAGATCATGAGGAAAATCGAATTAGTAAAATGTATGAGAGCGTTTATCGTTCCAGAAGAGATCTTAGCACTTCTAATAACATCTGACTAATCTTGCGACCGCCTTAGAAAACTCGTGATGTGCGTCTCATCCTGTTTGGGATTTATTAGCTGGATGTACCTGCATCGCATAAAAAATTAATAGACTCTCTATTTTCAATGGTTAGACAAATATAAACGGAAGACAAAAATGATGATGAATTGGCTAAAATTCAACGAAAACCTATACAGAATGAACTGTCCACAAAGTTAATAGACAGTAAACCGAAATTAAAACATTCACCGAAAAGTACATCTATATTAACAGAGTCAACTTTATTTATGGACACTGAATGCGAAGGAAAAATATATAAACAGAACTTCAAAAAGTCGACTGTCAAGCTTTCTGAAGACCCTTCGTCCGTGGAAGTTCTGAACTGTCTTTTTTAGTAAAGACATCATTTGGAAATGTGTCAAGCATAAACTGCTTCTTTCAGTCAAATTAATGTACATCTGTAAGTTTATCCACAGGTTACATTAATCACATAAAATGAACGTTGTTCAAACACATACTCAAGCATTACCCTGGATGACTAGCTTAATACTTGAAAACCTGGTGATCTTTGGTCATGTATCACCTCCGGAATCGTTAAGTCGAAAAATTTGTTCATACCGACAATTAAATATTACTTTTCTTTTGCTAAGTAATAACTGAGTTAAGCATATTAAAAACTATTGTGAAGAATCAGAATACAATCAAACAACAAGAAAATAAGAACAGTAATCACAACAACAAACAGAGTAAGAACATAATTTAGATTGAAGTCAGCTAAAATATGTATACCATTGCTGACGAAGAATACAAAAGCGAGCCATATAGCTGGACTGGCCTTGACTTTTATTTCCAGCTGTGTCTGAGACCGTCTCCGGCCACACAGTCGCATGATGTTTAGGATCCTAACTCAGGGAGGTTTCAAGACCAATTGTCTTAGAACAAAGAATCTGATTTCTTAAAAATATTCTTACACGACTGAAAGATTATAGTTGCTTGAAGAGAAAATATACTGTCTTTAAATATCCAGGACATCTTCAATAAAGTGAGAGGGTGAAGGTGGATCCCCAGTGGTGGACACAAAGAGAGTATTTAGAGGAATTAGGAAATTTTTGTTTAAAATAGTGGAAATAGGTCACAAGGAACGAATCGCGTGTAAAGCTATTGTGGTGACTGATGACCAAAAGACCGATATAACCCTACTATCGCGTGGATAATCTATTTAGATTAAAGACTAGGAGGTCATTTTCTAAAACAGCTCCGTGCTTCTGTTTAAAGAGGATTGGGAATATCCAAACTTTCATGAAATTCTTGACAACTATCAATGAAGAAAACAAGTGCTTTCAAGTCCATGAAAAACGCAGGATTGAACTCCACATTTTAATTTCAAAGAAACTGAAAATTACTAGTAAAGTACCGGTTAATCACAGTTGCTTAGTTTTACGGATGAAATATTTTATTTTAAGTTCAGACATTTGTTTGATGTGAAATGAAATTGTTAAAGAACTGGTTAAAAGTTCATCATGGTTGTCTTAGGCTTGTATCTATATATATACCGGTAATAATACTTTTGTAGCTTAATATTAAATACTCTGTAAATAAAAGGCATTATAACAATAAAATATTTTTATTGCACTAAAACAAAGAATGAAAATTATACCTACTTCTGTTTGTAAAAATGCTTCAACCTCATGGATATTCAGATAACCGTCTCCATCTAAATCTAATTTATTTTTATTTAGAAGGAAAATAACAGACAAATGAAAAAAACATAAAAAGGGAGAAATAATGGTGACACAACATAATATTTTTATCAGTGATTTGCTTCAGTAGTAGGGCTCAGTGGAGATAATATTTTGACAATTCATTGAAAATACATTTAATACGACTGAATAAAAGAAGACTTGCTTTTTTACGTTTGCTCTGATGAATTGTATTGTTTTATCATAGCTCGAAAGATTCTTGTAATTCCACCTGTAGATGTTCTAGAGTTATTACAGATCACAAGCCCACACAAAGGAGGGATGTTGGGCAAGGGGTCGGTAACCCCATCCCGTAGAAATGAATCTTTCTAAAAAAACTCTAACCTCGGTAAACATTTCAAATCATTTGAAATCTTTACTGAGAGTTGAAGGAAGAATTATGACGCCTTATAGTAAAAGCCATGATTTCTCGGAAGTCACAAGGCAGATGCCCCTTCTAACAACCAGAACAACAAATTTTAAAGGTACATGGAATGTGCAGACAATGTGGGTAACCGGAAGGACCGATCAAATAGCAATGAAAATGAAGAGAAACAACATTGCGGTTATCTGAATTAACAAAACTCATTGGACCCAAGCTGAAAAACAAAGGTTAGATATGGGAGGGATAGTATTGTACTCCGGTCACGATGAGGAAAATGCTCCACACACAGAAAGTTGCTCTGATGCTATTCAAAGAAGCACCAGAGGCACTTATAAGATGGCAAACTCACGGATCCAAGGTCATCAAAGCATCTTTAGATAAAAAAAGAGATAGGGAATCACAATGAATGATATTCAGTGTTCTGCTCCCACCACTGATAGCAACGACGACAATGAAGATCAGTTCTGAGAAAAGCTGCAATCAGTCATAGCAAAGTAACCGAGAAGGGATCTCACCATCGTGATGGGAGACCAAAACGCCAAAATCGGAATGAATAACATCGGATATGAAGAAATCATGCAACGACATAGATTGGGAGAGAGAAAAGAAAATGGGTAGAGATTTGCAAACCTAGGTGCATTCATAGGTGGCACAATATTCCCACACAAACACATAAACAAAGCTACATGGCTCTCACTGGATCGCATTACAGAGATTCAGATGGATCATATTTGTATTACTAAAAGATTCAGAAGGATATTAGAAGACGTGAGAACTAGGAGCTGACACAGCTTCAGATCACCACTTAGTTGTGGCCAAGATGAAACTGGAGCTAGAGAAACACTGGATAACTGGACAAACAGCATTAAAAAGGTTCAATACAGCCTTCCTACGAGATGCTAACAGACACAACCAATTCAAGATAACTCTCGACAACAGGTTATAAGCCTTACAAGACCCACTGGAAGGAGAAGAAAGTACCACAGAGGATAATTGGAAAGGGATCGATAAAGCATTAACTTCAACGTGTTGGGAGGTGCTGGGACGCAACAAGCATCATCATCATAATAAATGGATCTCTATGGGAACCCTGGACAAGATTCAAGAAAGCAAGAACAAGAAAACAACAATTACCACCAGTCGAACAGGAGCAGAGGAAACCAAGGTACAATCTGAATACACAGAACCAAACAAGAAAATGAAAAAGAGCATTTGAGCTGACTAGTAGTAATACGTGGAAGAGCTAGCAACGACAGAAGAAAAAGTTTGAACAGTGATAGGTCTTTTAGGTTGAACGCTTTATTCAGATCCTAAGCTACCTTTCTGCTTAATTGTAATAAAGACACAATCCATCAACGATCGAAGAATTCAGGATGGCCGGCCTTCAGACAAATCAAGAGTGAGAAAACAGAAGGACCAGACAACACGTCAGCTGAAGCACTGAAGTCAGACATGGAAGTAACAGCAAACATGCTTCATGCTCTACTCAAGAAGATTTGCAAGGAAGAACAAGTGTCGATGTACTGGAAAGAAGGACACCTCAACAAGATACCAAAGAAAGGAGATCTCAGCAAATGTAAGAACTATGGAGGCATCACACTACTATCGGTACCAGGAAAAGTTTTCAAAAGAGTGTTACTCAACCGGATGAAAGACTCAGTGGACACCCAACTTCGGCACCAACAGGCTGGATTCCGCAAGGATCGGTCGTGCACAGACCAAATCGCAACACTACAGATCATTGTTGAACAATCAATTCGATGGAACTTGTCATACGACGAACCACACTGCAAAGTTGTGCATGGAGGCCAGATGACAGACGCATTCCAATTAAGGACCGAAGTCAGACAAGCCTGCATACTCTCCCTCCTTCTATTTATTTTGGTGGTTGACTGGATTATGAAGACCTCGACATCTGAGGGGGAAGCACGGAATACAACGGACAGCTCGAAATCAATTAGAAGATTTGGGCTTCTCTGGTGACTTGGCTCTTCTATCTCAAACACACGAACAAATGCAGATGAAGACAACTAGTGTAGCAGCAGCCTCGACGTCAGTAGGCCTCAACATACACAAAGGAAAAACCAAAATCCTTAAATACAATACAGAGAACACCAACCCAACCACGCTTGATGGATAAGCTCCGGAAGATGTGGAATCATTCATGTACCTATCGGGGCAGCATCATTGGTGAACAAGGAAGATCTGATGCAGATGTACAGGCAAGGATTGGCAAAGCAAGAACAGTATTTCTACAGTTGAAGAACATATGGAACTCAAAACAACTCTCAACCAACATCAAAGTAATAATCTTCAATACGAATATCAAGGAAGTTCTACTGTACGGAGCTGAAACGTGGAGAACTACTACAACCATCACCAAGAAGGTACAAGTATTTATAAACAATTGTCTACTCAAGATACTCGATGTCCGTTGACCGGATAACATCAGCAACACCCTACTGTGGGAGAGGACAAACCAGCTTCCAGCTGAAGAGGAAATTAAGAAAAGACATTAGAAGTGGATAGGACATACATTGAGGAAATCACCAAACTGAATCACGAGGCAAGCCCTAATTTGGAATCCTGAGGGGAAGCGGAAAAGAAAAAGGCCGAAGAATACACCACGTCGGGAATCGGAAGCAGACATGAAAAGAATGAATAGTAATTAGAAAGGATTGTTCGGGGCAAGGTTGGATGGAGAGTGACGGTGGTCGGTCTATGCTCCTCTACGAGGGGTAACAGGCGGAAGCACGCAAGTAAGGTTTCTTATCAAAAGTACGTATACTTAATATAAATAAGGGCAATTATGCTATCCTACCGCAACATAGGATCTGGCATGAACGACTAAATATTCATATGAAACCTATAAGAATAAAGATGAGAAGAACGGTAGTGGTATAATTCAGTGTTAACTCTAACGCACACAGTAAAAAAGGAACAACATGAGATTGAAAAGTATGTAATAAAAATACATTCAAGATCTAGAAGACAATAAATGACTAATTACGGCCGACTAGTGGCCATTTCATCGAACGTATCCAATTAAATACTGAGATTATCCCATGAATCCCGAACAAAAACATTTGCATTAACTAATATGAATCAGACTAAATTTCAATAAATTCGTAAATCGATACCATGTCTAACTTCACTTTTATATAACATACTCTTACCCCACACAGCAATGTTCATTGGAGTAAGCTGTTGGTGGAAATGCATACCATATGCCCGAGACACTTCAGGTTCATTAACGGGTTTGCCATGCTTATTTAATACACTAGTCTTAACCCAAGTACTATCCACTCATGTATCCTGTAATACGCAACTAACGCTTCGAAGACATTTATGGTTAAATACTAGTAACCGCACATATCACGGCCACGAAAATGAAGACTTCATTGAAGGACACTGAGTGAGATAGTCACACACCACAAGCTCTGAACCAGCTAACAATATTTGAGTAGAACCTTCGTTATATTAATTTATATGCTTGACAGACGTTTCAACGACAGGTGCCAAAAGATCTTTAGGGCAAATAAGTTAATTGCAACCCTCAATTCAGGAAATATGACTAACGTCGAGTATTGCTAAGTATCTCAGCCCTCCAAAAGCTAAGCATTAAGTCAATTATCTACATTTTTAGGATTCTCTGTACTAGCATATGATTACTATGGAAGTTGGTCCTCATGTTTTAAATCGAATTCAAAATTACTGAAAAAATATGTCATTCATATTGAGGTCGTAAAAAATCTGTAAGTTGTAAAATATAGGACGTTGATCAACTAAGCTGTTTATTGAGTAAAAAACGATTTTAAAGTCTTAGAGATGTACAAATCATAAGGTTGGAAATTAAATCTCAGAAAGGAATATATAGACAGGACTTACCGATATCGGCAAATAACGTTCGAGAATTGAATGATTGCTCATCCAATCCCTCATATTTCTCCCAATATTCTTTAAGCTGATCTTGACTTCCCTACATCAGAAATGGGCAGTGTCTTACTTTTATCATCATATTAGCGGTAGTTAAGGTCAGTTCATTGAGTTGAGTATTATGAAAATGAACTAAAATTTGAAGATTTCTGAATCTTAAGTTGACATAAACACTTTAAACCCCTCAAGTTCGCAACACGAAATCAATTGAATTTACTGTTATATATATATATATAGCTTTGAGGATACAAATAGCAAAAAATCTTCTAGGTTAAGGAAGACTAAACAAACCAATCAATAAACTCTGTAAGACAGCTTATTAAATTAAAGTTACCATAAAAATAACTACAAAATCCTTGTTTTGATAAGAAGGATCAGGCAAAATCGCAACTCTTGTATTTTGGCACACGGAATCGAAGGTTACATACTGAATTTCCTGGTACTTTTCTCAATATAAATCGGTTTTTAAATTGCATCAAGCGACTTTGGTATGTGAATTTAGAAATTGCCAAATACACTATTAAAATTAATTATAACATTAGTAAATGAATGTCTCCATTTTCTCATTGTTGATATATACAACCGCATTTGGTCGGTTTCGGTTAGTCGAGAAGACGTCTCGGTATTGTCACAAGATCCCAGACTGATCAAACGCCATCCTGAATGCTAAGAACAGCTAAATATAGCACAAGGCACTGGATTAGAATTTCCGTATGGAAATCAACATGAAAATCCAGGTGCTTTTTATTGACGAGTCCCTAGCAAGACATAGCGCATCCTCTGGACTGGACTGAAATGAAAAATTTACCAAAAATATGACTTCATGTTCGCAAAAAGTGAGGGACTTATTATTTCAGTGATTACAAGTTTCTAGTAGTGAAGTTGAAGTTTAAGAAAATAAGGTAGTTAAATGCTAAACAATCCGTAAATAGTTAATTCTTACTACAATCAATGATGTAACTAGTCAGATACAGCTTTCAACAGAAAAAACCCTTAGTAAAAGACAGAAAACGATCCTTGATAGAAAGCTTTCTAATTTGTTATATCTTAATTTCTCAGGAAAATATATCACAGGGTTATAATGTGTAAAAGAAATCGCAAACTGCCACGTGTACATTTTATGTCATTTATTACAACAAATCCGCCATAATGAGGCCAAACTATTGGAAGATTAGTATGTGAGACAAGTGTAAAAGATTTTTTCATGAAACTACAAGTTCACCCAATCAGACTGCTTTTCTGAACTGTATTATCTACAGATGAAACAATTACTGTACAACATTGATAACAAATTTAGCAGACGATATTTACTTAAAGCCAGAAATATAAACAACAATATTCAAAACAGGAGTAAATGATGGTTCAAAGTTATACAGAATTAGTATATTAGTATGAAGAAAATTAAAATATACATTCAGTCACAATAAATGATTGAGTTGTCAGATAAATTTTTTACCAACTCTGTTTGCCATCAAATGTTAATTGACCATATAAAAATCACATCAATTTTAATGATTATTTTGTTAATAAGTCCCAAAATAATAATTATCCTTGCTATTTATGTACATCGTACAGGATGTTACTTTAGTGAGCAGGGAGAAAGTAGTGGCTGATTATATGGAAATATATGTGATGAAGAATGAGTTTTCAGCAGTTCTACAAAAAAGCCATATATCAAGTTATTCAAAACTATTGTACATAAGTATTTTACGTAAAAAGAAATTATATATAAATACCGTAATATTTTTATTTAAAAGTACACTAAAGATTATGATAACGTAAAATCACACTTACTGGCTGGTGAATTCTGGGATGACGCTTGTGTTTTTCAGCCAGTTCTTTCAGACTCTTAAGCATCCTAGCACGCTCTTCTTCTGTAAATTTACTGAATTTCTGTACCATATCGCTTTTTTCTTTAGCTACATGCTCTTGGTACTTCCTTTCCTGTTCATCATCCAATTTTTTTAACTTATCAACAATCTGGATATAGAATGGCAAAATTTATAATTATACCAGTAATATATTGCGATAAGTAGTAGAATATTCAGACTTAAAAGTGGGAGTAATCTCTATAGATCACCTTATATTTTAGCGACCAAATACAGAACATACAAGGTTGTTAATCGAACCTTTTATGTCCAGTTAAGTAGTTGATGAAAAAGTAAAACGGTTAAAATAGTTATCAATCCTTAATATATGCGTCGAACGTTCGATTTACAAACTAAAGTACCATAGTGCAATGAATACAAGTTTGAAATTCAAGTCAACAGTTACTATGGATATTGATATAAATAAACTGTACATAAGTAGTCACTAAAGTCTGTAAACAGACGCCAGATCTTTTCAAATATAAAAGCCTCTAAATAAATGAAAACGGATTTAAATACCTAGAAGGTTCAAACAAATACTAAGTTGAATTTAAACTTCACCCCATCGCACAAGCAAGTGGCTATCAGGACTCAGTGGCCGAGTGGATAACGCGATGGCGTTTGAAGCGAGGGTACTGGGTTCGAATCCCAGAGTGAACATCAACTCTGAGATGCAGGTACATCCAGCTGACGAGTCCCAAATAGGACGAAACGCGCGTCCTGGATTCCACTGCTAGCCACTATCCATCTCTGCTAACCATGCTTGTGAATTAAGGTATATCGAGGCAATACGCACAGTATGCACATATGCCAATTAGAGACTGACCAGTTGCAGTCCTAAGAAATCGATGGGAAGATTCAAACAAACAATACTAAGTTGAATTTATACCTAGAAGGTTGCCTAGTAATTAAAATACATTTAGAATGTATTTTAACTATAACTCAGACTTTTGTCAAAACACAGTTGAATGGCTTGATATAATATGGTTTAACTTAATATCTACCTGTATACTGTTTTTACTTAATTAAGTGTAGGTGAACTGAAACAACAGTTAATGAACGAAAGTAATAATTAACAATAACATGAGATGATTAAATGATATTCTGGTACTAGAGGTCTACTCCACATTACATGGATCATAGCAGCAATCAGTGAAGTTATGAATCTCAATCATATTTTGAGGTAGCCCGTTTTTTTACAGGCATGATCAAGACTGCAGACATACAAACAAATACCTGTCCTTTAGTTGAATCCCTCATTTTCAACGACTACGTTTCATTCAGGAGTGATGTATGGAATACCTGTCTTCTGACACAAAGATGAAAACTGAGTGATATAAGTCTGGAAATGTCATATGATTCCTTTGTATTTGCTGCGGAATTTGGTCGAAGATAGTTCTATCAATGCCGAATCAGCTCTCAAGCTAAACAACTTAATTACTCATATTAGATGTTGGTGGAAATCGATCCTTGAACATAATTATATATTCGGTAGATATAAAAAATTTCCTGTGTATCTTCAGATTTCTGTTTAAGGTATTCAAAGGAACCTGAATTTTGTTAACACATTCGCCTAAAAACAATTTAAACTTTTAAAATATATATATATATATATTTGTAATACCCCAATGAGTAGAAAAATTAAATTTTCTGACGTTTCGTGACTTAGTGTAAGCCATTTCTTTAGAGAATAAATAACCAAATTAAATTAACTCAAGTTTGCTACATGTTAAGCAGACGATTAAATAAAAAAAGACTGGGTGTCAACAGAATTATATAAATTTATAATGTAGAACATAAATTATGGCAGTTATGCTAGGATCGAAACTATTGGTCGAGTAGAAAAGTATATTGAACAAATTTACTTTCACAAATGAAGTAACCTGGATGCTTAGTGAACTTATTAAGAAAAAACAATGTGAAAATACTTTATTTATAATATAATATCCCAATAAATAAATAAATGCTGCCAATCGATGTCAGATTTTAACTGACTATTGATTTGTATTTTATTTAGCTGATAATTTCCTAGATGGTGGTGATAATTTCCTACTTCAGTAAAATGAGTGTCCTAACTATTTCAATATACATAGACAAATATAAAAAGGCGTTAATTTTAAAAGATGAGCTAAATGTTAGAGTGAAACAACCATATATAGAAAAATATAATGGTTACTTTATTCGGTGATTCCGCTTCATATCCTGGCAAAGTTTTGTGAACAACACCGCCCATTGTGTTAGGATGACTATCTGCTACTTTCTCCAAATGAGTTCTTAGGAGTTTTTCGACTAGATAACGTTTTGTTTCATCGTCTTTACCTCGTAAACTTGTATTCCAAAGTAGTAATAAATCATCTAAAGACTACAATGAAAGAAATCAAGCGAATTTGTAAATGACGTAAGAAAAAGGATAATTTAATAATGAATTTATAATTAATGAGTAAAGTATTAGAATTTAAAATAGATAAAAATTTAATTTATATAACTCCAGAAAAAAACAAATAATCATGTGGTCTGCTTAGAATCACATTTATGAAACTCAGAGATACTGTCCAACTGTCCAAACAGAAATTTATAGAGGCATCATATAACAATAAGCAAACAAGCACTTTAAAAACTGAGTCATGACTTCAAAAGGCAAGACAAAACCAATTATCAACTTCAGATCACCACCATTAAAATTTTTAAAAAAATTGGCCAACTAAATTTACTGCTAGGAAAAGTGAGGCCAAATAATGGATGAATACATACCGACATCTACTTACTAATGAATAAATCAGAGTCAAGTATATATGTACTTAACCCCAGTCTGACATTCCAAATCAGCATAACCAGATAAAAGCAACAAAATGACTAGCAAGTCAGTCAGCTAAAACGTAGGACCAGGTACATATATGCATCGGTGCAAGTTGTCATACTTCATCAACACAACAAGATGAACACCGGATTCATAGAAGTAGTTAATTCTATGGTGGCAATATATAAGAGAAAGGTTGTATATAAGGATATAGTATAAGAAGGCAGATATGGAGCAATTTTAATCTCAAGGTTTAAGGGAAGATAATACAGTGATCTTGAGTGCTGTTAGAGGTATCAGGGCAGTTATCAATTCCCGGTTGCCCACACCGTGGAAGGGTTCTTCTAGAGGTACTTGAAAAGGAAATTGTGTTAAAAGTGATCTTAATGACCTGAGAGTGTGACCGCAGTGCCCAAGGAACAACTGCTTGAGGTTGGTCACACACGACCTTTTTGTGGGTAGTTTTTGTGTTAGCTCCGTACTTGTTGATACCTTACCGCCGGAGACAGATATCCGTGAGATAAAGCAAGGTGTGCATCTTTAGGGTCGACCTTTTCTAACCCCACTCCCCCCTTGTGGGGAGGCAGCATCGCTGTCATGCTGGTTGTCTAAAGGAAACACGTTACTGCTGCCACACCTCTGTACAATTAGCAGTACGACTTCGGACCTTGGGTTTGCTGCTTTTAGTTTTACTGCTCTTCAACCGACCTGCCTGGCATGGTAGGACCTTGAGGAACGATTGTTCCAGCCAGTATAGCTCGATTGGTTCATCATGATAGGCAAGCCCGACCACCACCTCAAGGTAGCAGCAACGGTCGGGATATTATCCTCTTGTGAACTGAATGGTATTTGTCTATCTAGTTGAGATTTCATAAACGAAGGAAGTTGCTCGATTGCTTTCAGCGCAGTGCTAGATACGATTGGATCGAATAATAAATCACGCCAACGACGTTCAATTTCTTCCTCCGTAGAATGAACAGCGAATCTTACAGTGTCATACACTTCTGTAAGGTTATATACCATGACAACGGAATTTATCAATAAATAATAATCACCGGGCGTCCATGGTGCGTTTCTTACTTCACGTTTGGCTTTATGATGACTGACTCGAGATGCTTTTCGTTTCATTGTTCTAGAGAAATCTCCGCTACGATATGGTCGTAAAGAATTGTTATCAGGTCGGTTTTCATGAGAAGGAATTAATGTTCCTGTAGTACTTGTTCCCGATTCCTTATCTTCCCTTAAACCTTGAGATTAAAATTGCTTCATAACTTTGTTCCTTCCTATACTATATCATTATATACCACCACTACTAAATTAACTACTTCTATGAATTCAGTGTTCATCTTGTTGTGCTAACGAGGTATGGTAGCTTGGACCGGTTCATATGTGTGCTTGTTCCTACGTTGTAGCTGACTGACTGACTGAAGGGAAGATAAACAGTGTATACACCTACGCCATTGTGATCGATTCTGAGCCATGTCACCTAGAGTCTCCAACCATTAGTTACGATAGTCACGCGGACCCCAACCAAGTAGTCTGCATCTACCAACATGGCTCAGACTAGAAGTTAGTGACTTCAAGCTCTGATGCCACGTTTTGGTTTGGCCGCCCCTAACTTTCTTTCAATCGGTGTTCAGGCATACGTAACACGTGGCCTAACCATCTCAGTCGATGAAGATTCATGACCTCATCAACTGATTTACTATCATTCCATAATACGATGTGTCTGACCTCACTATTACTTCCCCGGTGATCCCAGCAGATGCGAGCAACATTTCTAGGACACCTGTGGTCAAATACTAGTAACTTACGAGTATCTTCTACTTTTAATGGCCATGTTTCACAGCCATTAAGTAGAACAGAGCTAACTGCTGCGTAGTATACTCGTCCCTTAATTGATAGACAGATATCTCGTCTTCGCCATAGGTGACGTAAGTTGGCAAAAGCTAGACGAGCTTTTTGAATCCGTGCTGAGATTTCATCAGACACCTACCCATTAGGGCTGATCAGACTTCCAAGATGAGTGAGGTTGTCGACGCGCTCAACTACTTCACTCCCTATCCTTAGTTCAGGTGTTGACGCAGGCCAGTCCTGGAGCAACAATTTACATTTAGAGGGGGAGAAACGCATTCCGAATATCCTGGCATTATTACTCAGTTTTAACAGAAAATTGCGTCTTGTCAGCGTCTTCACCAAAAAGGACTATGTCATCTGCGTATTCCAAGTCTCTTAGTGGACCTCGTGGTAGGAGATCAATTCCAGAAAATTCAGTAGAAGAGAGTGTTATTTCCAGCAGTAGGTCTATAATGAAATTGAACAAAAATGGGGATAGTGAACAGCCTTGTCGGACACCATTTGAGGTTGTAAAATCAGATGACAGTTTGCCATTAGCTCTCCTCGATTGGTAGTAATCGAGTTAAGAGCCTTTACAAGGCTTATGTACTGCTGAGGTACACCTTCCAGTGACAGACACTGCCACAGAGCCTTTCAGTCTACAGAGTCAAATACTGCTTTAAAGTCAACAAAAACTATCATTGTCTGACGCCGATAAGCATGCCTGTGTTCTAAACTTGACGAATAGTGAATATGTGGTCGACACAGCCACGACCAGATCTGAAGCTAGTCTGATTTTCTCGTGTTTGGAGTTCACCAGCTTTAGTTAAGTGCCTGATAATTATTGAGGCTAATATTTTAGATACTATATTAGTCAAACTAATTCCTCTATGGTTATCACAGGATGATTTTGGCCCCTTCTTATATATTGGGACAATAAGTGATTGTGACCAGTCGGATGGGATTACGTACAACTCCCAGATTTTAGCCAGAATATTAGTCAACCTGGTTGCTAAAATTGGACCACCATATTGGGATTCGCGAGATGATAGCAATCGATGGTTAGAGATCTTGAATTACATGGCTCAAAATCGTTTGCAATGGCGAAGGTGCATCCACTCTTTGTGCTCTCCCAAATTTTAATCTTCTGAATCCTTCATGTCCCCATCTTTTTTCTCTTTCCAAATTTATTTCACTGGATTATACTCCTTTAATAACATCTTCAAACCCCAGTCTTTCCAACTACTGCTTATACTCTTACTACTCCCATCACTATAGGATTTGAATCGACAACTGCATGTCTGTGCTGTGGTATGGCAACTTGAACTGATGTACGTACGTACGAAGTTCTAGATTGTGATTGACTGATATGCTTTCTTATACGAATTTAGGCCATAAACTCAACAGATGATCTTTACTATATTCCGTATAAATAGTCTTAGATCGCTGTATGGAAAAATTGTTTCCAAAATGGCAATAGCAGTTATATGTTTTGACTGGTAATTAGCATGCTAACCAATATGCTTAGTTATTTCATCGATATGAGCATTACAGTACAATAATCATGTGGAAAGTACGCAGATAAAATTTAATATAAAAGTACAGATTATCAACTCCCTAGGAAAGTTCATTTCAGACACCAGCACACCACATTATTAGTGTCCGTGAATGCTAAACACCGTCGAGTCATAAAAGTCATACAAGCATCCAAATGGTTTGGATGAAACAAGAAAACAAACCCTTGACAATCACTATATATATATATATATATATATATATATATATTCAAGTTATGTTTAAGAAAACTCATGACATCCAGCACCAAGAAAAACAAAATCGAGTTGTTGACAAAAATGACTTACATTTTCCACAAAAACTTTTCGAGCCGAATCCAATGTTTTAGGATCCACATTTATTGCTTTTGGTGCCTCTTCTAAATATTTCTTGTATTGGGCAACTTCCTCAGCCTAAAGTTATAAAAGTTAAAACAACTCTTTGTAAACTATACATCGGCCAACAACACACTTTTAGAGCATACTAGAAACTAAAAGCAGATTCATGTTAAAATAAATCAGAAACAAACGCAGTAAACAAGATAGGATTATGCACACATTTGACTGAAGGTACGAGACGCCTAGCAATGTTTACAGATAAATTTATGGTTCCGAATGAAAGTAAAAGTATCGAAAATCATATACTTTTCGTATAAGGTCCTTTACAAAGTGATGTTCAGAGGTGATACTATGAATTTATCATGTTGAATCAGATCGAATTCGAAACAACTATGCATTAATACATAGCGGTCGAAATTATTAGAAGTGCTTTTTTAACATTTGCGAACATGATCTATACTCAAAAAGCAAAGTTTCTGCAGTAGATTCTGTTCAAAAGTACGTTAAGGAATATTCCAAAATATAACAAATTAATATTTGCATCCAGAACATTTTGAAATCACCTTTTAACCGATCAGGATTATGAACACTATAAACGTCAGTGACAAATAGAAGATCAGGCTTTTGTACTCAAGTTTAAATTTGCAACTTACTAAAAACATCATAAGAGAATCTTGATTAATTCAGATATGCGCTATAATTTTCTGTAATTTCCCATGCACTGACTTTAGTTGTATATTATTTATAACACATCCTGATTCATAAAATAATCAGTAATAGACCACCAATCTTCAACACAGTTCAAATAAGCTCGAAGTTGTATCAAGCCCTGTCCATTAGATATGTCAAAAGTATGGTAGTGGGTGTGTTGAGATACCCTAGGGGAGTTGAAGTTAAGTGACGGCTCATAGAATATTGCAACATGGTTCCCAAGGCAAAAATATTTATATTCGTCAACCTATAGTCACAACGACAGAATTTCATTACGTTTTTTATCAAACCAATAAAGTAAAGAATATGGAGAAAAACATACTACGAGTAACAAATAACTTTAGTGAGACATTAAATTTGACTTCAGATTACAAATATCATTTTACAGGTTGGTTTCATAATCAATTTCGTGTGTGGTACTCAACATAGCTGCTAACTTGATATGATGATCGTGTTCGTATACCGTGATGACTCAATCGAGCACTATTAGCTCAGATAATTGTTCCTCTATGCTCTACCGTGCTAAGCAGGGATTTTGGAGAGTGGTAAAGCTTAAATTAGTAGACTCATGGTCTGAGAGCAAGGTCGTACTATCAACTGTATAGGGGTGCAGTGACAGTAAAATGTTTCCCTTAAGTAACTAGTATCTGTAGGGATGCGGCGTTTTCAAAACGGAAGAGGGTTAGGGAAGGTCGACCTTTAATATACTACACCTCACATTGCTCCACGGATTTTCTCCGGTGATACGAGCTTAAAAACAGTGGCTCAGCTTATCTAAAACTACTCCAAAAAGACTGTTATAGGCTACAGGTACTTGTCCCTTGGGAACTGAGATGACGCTCTCAGGTCGTTGCAACCACAACTAATCTAGTTGACTTTTCAAGTACCTCGATTGGAACAGTCTTTTTGCGATGCGGATGACAGGGAAGTGATAATCAAACTCATGACTTTAACAGCACACATCACCTTGTACACAACCAAACCCTGTCTTGATTACTGGATATTTCTTTCTATTTCCACGATTAAACCTCATTTATCTTCGACTCCTCAGATATGTACCAGTGTTAACAACTTGAATTCAAAAATGCTATACAAGGTTTCTTGAAATCATGCTTCAAGCCACGTGTTGATGCCTTTAATGTTCGAACCCTATGTTGAAAATTACAATAGGCATCACTAATTAAGACAACAAAATCTCGTGTCATCGGTGTGCGCAGTGTTTCCAAAACACGCATACGGAATGTAGTCAATGAAGTCAATAATTTGGACTCACCTGGGTAGTATGGAGAGTTAATGCGATATATCCTTCATGTATGTAAAGGCGCGATAGCAACTCATTGTGGTTTTGATGTAGGTATAGCACTAAATCTGATACCAGAAAAGGTTCTTCTCACCTAGATTCCAGTCGATAATTGCTTACGTACCCTTTATCTTATTGGAACAGTAGAAATTTGGAGAAATAGGGACACACCATTATCCTTTTATTGTCCCTCTATGTTCAGAACAATGACTATCTGCTGCAATCATCCTCAGACTTCAAGCATACGGGAAGACACTGTTTACCTGAGTGCTCTCAAAATCAACACAACGATAGACACAAATTGATTATATTGTCATCAACACCTTTGGAGGTTCGATAGAAGGGTATCGTCCATTCAGGGGTGTATTCTCGGACTATGATCATGGCTTAGTGAGAGTTAGAATTTTTTATTTGTTTTACTGAACGTGGGAAGACTTTAGATATCAACTCTAAGGTGGAAAAGTCAAGGAGAAATTGGGGGGAGTTAGCTAAGCACAAAGTCGGTCATAAAGAGGCAGTTCACTCTCCAAAACTTGTGATGATATTCAAAAAGCTGCGAACACAGCAGAAGAATCTATCAACAATTTGACCTAAAAAGGTTTGAAGAGCCCAGTGGATTTCGGCGGTGTCGGCTAAATAGACGGATGTTCGAAAACGCATTACTTCAGGCCCGCAGAACAACGAAGAGCAGCGAAAACTCGTACGTAAATTAAAACAAGACTGAGCAATTATTGTGAGTAGTGGTGGACAATGGAAGCAGGAGGGATGGAAAAAGCAGTGAAGATAGGTAACACTAGACAACTTCCTAGCTCGTCAAGGAAACAGGTGTTGTAAAAGCATCCATCAGTGAGACTATTTCGAGAAAAGATAGAGCTATTATTTACTGTTAGTCCGGGAGGTTAGATGATGAGAACATTTTGTGAGACAGTTTGACAGGCTTCTAGCCGCCCTTCAGTTGCTATCTTCAAACAACCTGGGTGGAAAATTGACAAGAATTCTCCAGCTCTTAGTGAGGTTCAAAAGGCAAGAGAAAGCAGCATGTCCAAATGGATTAGCCCCAGAGACTTTAGGGATGATGTTCCAGTTTTAGCTGCGAAACTGACTGAGATACAAGTTAGAGTTCGGGATCCAAACAGTTTCATTTGACTAGTTTCGTTAGTTTATAAGAGAAGGCAGAAATGCTCCTGTGACCACAGAGAATCAGTTTGACCAATACTATATCTAAGGTACTACCATATAGAGTGATCTGATGCATTATGGGAATATGTAAATGATCTAAACATAATAATATCCTAAGGACAGAAGAATGATTGTTGTTTGTTGCTATCCCGACATTTGCTTTTAGCTTAGGTAGCGTCATTAATGGAGCCATATAATTGTTGGGCAACATCATTTGAAAACCATCAGTAGCTTTTCGTAATAGGAGCACCTGAAAACTTTCAAAACAGGATTTGACGACCCATATACTGACATAACGGCGGAAAAATTCAATATAATAGCCTTCATTCTGTGAATAATCTTAAGGATCTCATAGACTGTATCCCTCATCGAGCTGCTTATCATAGTCTTATGTGGACCCAACTAGATCGAAACAATCATATCTGAGATTCGACATCTAATACACAAATCCTGAGTAATTACCAAACATGACAACTAACGCACACTGTCGACTTGGCCAAAGGCACAACACCTACTGCCAGTATGACGATATAATAATGTGCTCGTAGCTTTCAAAGCCTGACAAACATTGAAGGAATAGCAAGAGAGGCTTATAAATCACTTCAAATGTCTAGATAAAATTCATTTGAGACAAACAAAATGTATGTGCATTGGTCCGAAGAACTCACATTGTCAAAAGTGGGTATGACAGGAACCGAGACAATGTAATTGATCGTGAGAAGAAATAGCGCGAAGATAATCTGAAGCTATTAGTGCATAATGTTTACCTCAAACATACCATTTCAGAGACAACAACCAAGCTTTCCAGTTTCAAGTACCAACGACTAGGACGTCGAGTCCAATTAAGTTGCTTTGATAGAGAAAAACAAATTATTGAAAACACTTCGAAAGAATTTCATCGTAATAAATCACAGTCTTATATAAAAGGCACAACTCTACAACCATCCACAAATAGATCTATAAACGTTTACTATGCAACAGCATCAGAAAAATTGCTACACAAATTCTTGTTTATATATTGGCTTACTGTATGCTGAACATTCGTCTCAATATCAGTGTGCCTTATATCTTCTTTCTATCCGTAAAGACCATCTGAGAGGACATTCAAAGAAAGTTGAAAGACTGAAATCAAATCATTCACATCTAGAGTTCCGTTTCTCTCCCCAAGTAGTGAATTACTGAAATCGTCTACCAGAACACGCAATATCGGCACCTTCTGTTTATTTATTCAAAATGAGATACGATCTGCAAGGCCCTACAAATTGTATAAACTAATATAGAATAATTGATCTCCTATCTGTATTACAGATGGCGGATTAGTTTGGATTGCGATATTCACCGGTACGTTTATCATTCATTCAACAATATTGTATTATATAAGGTAAACATCACACTTTGCAGCAAATAATTATTTTAGGCTTCATTATAAATATAGCAATATTGGTGGCTGACGGTGTGGGAGATCTAGAGGACCAATCAAATAGCTGCAGGAGTGAGGAGATACAACTCAGCGTTGCTCAGAATCAGTGAGACCCATTGGACCCAAGCTGGTTAGAAAACCATAGATTTAAGGAAAATGCTCTGCTGCTCAAATTATGAAGATGAAAATACTTCCCACACACACTGACGCTGTCCAGACGTACACGAAACACATGTCAAGAATGAAAATCTCATAGATTCAGAATCATCAAAGCGTCCTTTAAAACAAAGTAGGAGATGTAGGGATCTACTTTTATGAAAAGAAAGTGGTAGTTATAATGGAAACATTCGTTATTATTGTGGGACCATTGCCACCATCGTACGGGTATGATCACATACTCACAAGATGAACCGGAGCTATTCTCATTACGTCTATTACGGCGGAGACAGTTGTTTACCGCAACAATTGGAACGAAACCTTACCGCTCGTCCTCAGAACGAGCTTAAAGGCAGATATTCAATGTTCCCTACATCTATTTCGAACACCACACCAGATACCCTATGGACCGTATTCTCACGTCCCAATCAACAGCACTTGTCATCTGCACAATCTTCAGACTCACTTCCAGATCAGCAGATGACGCCGCCCTTGACTTCGGACGAGATAGCAGTCTCATGAAACTACCGTCTCACGTTCAAGTTGCCGGTTAAGCACACCCGTACGCTTTCCTGACTAATTTATCAATCAACAAAAGATACGATATAGGACTCTATCCCTATACTACATGCATGCTACACCCTTCTCTATTTCTTTGGTTTTTTATCCTGAGCCCACGCTCTTGACCATTGCCCTGTTGGTACCATGTACCTCAGTCAACCTTGGCGAAAGCTGGCCTGATACCCCACGCTCTTGTCAATGCACTCAGTTGAAGTCCTGTCCTCGAATATGCGTGGCATACGTATGGTCTCGAAATTGGTTCTTATGGTCGCTTGTGGTTCCTTGGCTCAATGTTGTTCCGTCCTACGTATGCAATGCCTACCGTTCCAGACCCCTAAGAACAATCGTCAGATTCCGGATGCAAAACACTATGGTGTGTTATAAAAACTCAAGCAAGAAATATAACATGTTACTCCTGATACCTTCCTATATAAAAGATCTTCGGTGACAACTCGAGGATCAAAGATCGCTCCTTGTTTGTCAACCCTATCTTTGTGCAATGACACGTTGCCAATCAGTCCCATGAGCGAAGCCGCTGTCTATCGAAAGTGTGAACCCTTTCCAGCGGTGGGCAGCTGTAATGATCTACGTTTACGAAGAGGCGCGGTTGGTGTAATGTAAACATTTATTATTATAACCAACTGTACCAGTAGTTGTCTCACTGTACCTTTCTGCTTAATTGTAATAAAGACACAATCCATCAACGATCGAAGAATTCAGGATGGCCGGCCTTCAGACAAATCAAGAGTGAGAAAGCAGAAGGACCAGACAACACGTCAGCTGAAGCACTGAAGTCAGACATGGAAGTAACAGCAAACATGCTTCATGCTCTACTCAAGAAGATTTGCAAGGAAGAACAAGTGTCGATGTACTGGAAAGAAGGACACCTCAACAAGATACCAAAGAAAGGAGATCTCAGCAAATGTAAGAACTATGGAGGCATCACACTACTATCGGTACCAGGAAAAGTTTTCAAAAGAGTGTTACTCAACCGGATGAAAGACTCAGTGGACACCCAACTTCGGCACCAACAGGCTGGATTCCGCAAGGATCGGTCGTGCACAGACCAAATCGCAACACTACAGATCATTGTTGAACAATCAATTCGATGGAACTTGTCATACGACGAACCACACTGCAAAGTTGTGCATGGAGGCCAGATGACAGACGCATTCCAATTAAGGACCGAAGTCAGACAAGCCTGCATACTCTCCCTCCTTCTATTTATTTTGGTGGTTGACTGGATTATGAAGACCTCGACATCTGAGGGGGAAGCACGGAATACAACGGACAGCTCGAAATCAATTAGAAGATTTGGGCTTCTCTGGTGACTTGGCTCTTCTATCTCAAACACACGAACAAATGCAGATGAAGACAACTAGTGTAGCAGCAGCCTCGACGTCAGTAGGCCTCAACATACACAAAGGAAAAACCAAAATCCTTAAATACAATACAGAGAACACCAACCCAACCACGCTTGATGGATAAGCTCCGGAAGATGTGGAATCATTCATGTACCTATCGGGGCAGCATCATTGGTGAACAAGGAAGATCTGATGCAGATGTACAGGCAAGGATTGGCAAAGCAAGAACAGTATTTCTACAGTTGAAGAACATATGGAACTCAAAACAACTCTCAACCAACATCAAAGTAATAATCTTCAATACGAATATCAAGGAAGTTCTACTGTACGGAGCTGAAACGTGGAGAACTACTACAACCATCACCAAGAAGGTACAAGTATTTATAAACAATTGTCTACTCAAGATACTCGATGTCCGTTGACCGGATAACATCAGCAACACCCTACTGTGGGAGAGGACAAACCAGCTTCCAGCTGAAGAGGAAATTAAGAAAAGACATTAGAAGTGGATAGGACATACATTGAGGAAATCACCAAACTGAATCACGAGGCAAGCCCTAATTTGGAATCCTGAGGGGAAGCGGAAAAGAAAAAGGCCGAAGAATACACCACGTCGGGAATCGGAAGCAGACATGAAAAGAATGAATAGTAATTAGAAAGGATTGTTCGGGGCAAGGTTGGATGGAGAGTGACGGTGGTCGGTCTATGCTCCTCTACGAGGGATAACAGGACAAAGCAATCAAAGTGTAAGTAAATACTTAAAGTTAATAGGTTATCTAAAGGTCATATAAAAAATTACTTCCTAAGAAGCAATACTCTTTGCGATTTCTTGATATGAGATAAATTCGAAGTAGAGCGAAATCAGTTGCTGTGATGCGTAATAAACAACTTGAATAATTAATTCAAATTAGTGATGAGACTATAATTTACGGATGAACCAATCCGATATATGGTGTGTCTTGAATTTTGTCGCGGAATGCACACGTACATTTGCCTATATAATGGAATGGTCAAAAAGTCATGCCACTGGTTCTTGCTCGCATGTTACATGTTGTCGGGGATAATAGATCAACTTTTGGCGCTTCTTCTGAAAATTGTATCTTTTTTCACGTGGTTATATTTTTTCTTATTATTAGTGTTTCCTTCTAATTTAACAACATTTATTAGTGAAAAAATACTTTATTTCTGATAGGGCTCTATTAATTTGACACCCCATCCTGTGACTCAACGTAGTACATTAAGCTCACTATCTCGCACGCTGTCCACCTCTCCTCGTTCACTAACGTTAATATATTAGCTCTTAGCAAATATTGATCTGACTCTACCATAGAACTTTACACATCTAGTAAGTAAAAATATAACAGTCGTTGCTCACCCAATACAAAATTTATATTTACATTACTTCTAATAATGTCCAGGTCATCTAAAAAACACAATCTCTCCTGATGCTCATAGCACGTGCAAAAGATCTAAATCCACCACTCACGCGAATAATGTGAAGCTTTCTAAACACACTGATCAGTTTGCATCATACTCTGATCTTTCTACAGCTACACTAGACGTGCACCATATACTTGGGCATGACCTGTCACTACCTTGCATCTCGCTTGTGGATATAAATAAGAGTAATCACATACCGCCTAGCCCGACATCATTTGACAGCCCACTCATCACATGTGAGCGGTATTTAGACAGTGTGGTTGACCCCATACACACAATAAATCCACAGCCGGTCATCCTGTGTAGCGGCCAACAGAGTGCACATAAGCCCACATACATTAGCCAGCCTAATAATGTAGATCTCGACTACTCACCCAAACATATGCCTTATCCCTCAACTAAGTACGCACAAGATGACCACCTGTTAGACGCTTGCAGCAAATGTGTATGCAACCATATAGACCATAATAATGTTGATATAAACTCAAATAAGCTCACCAGTGGTAGTTCTAAAAGCAGTCAAATAAAATCTAGCCTCACCCAAACTATTCAAGACCTATTACCGTATAAATACCTAATCAGTGTTCCGGAAAATCCTGATCTCGAAATTATAAAAATCACTGAAAAAATAATTGACCACGTATCAGCTGAAGTGCTAAAAAGACTTCAGTGTATGCACAATGTCATTGCTTATAATATACCTGATAGTACGAACCTAAAGCTTACTAAAAATACTCTACTACAAGAATGTGGACTGTCGCAATCTTGGTGTGTAGCAAGAAGATTACGTAAAACACAGACTAAAGCCTCTTGTCCCATTCTATTTCAGTTTGGTAGTATCATAGAAGCCAATCACCTCCTTAAAAGTCAGTCTTTACTGAGGCGTATTCCAA